ACATTCACCGCTGTCTTTATAGTAAATCTAAAGCAGCATAAAGTAGTTTCAAATTTCGTGTGTCAATATAAACCGGCATATTTAAGTAGTTTCAAATTTATTGTGTCAGTATAACTAAGAGATATATATCTGGCAAATGGCTAAAGGAATGTGGCAGATTGTCCATATTTTCAAACTTGATTTATTAGAAAAGCAAAATGCATCTCGTTAGATAATAATGTTATTGACAAACAGGGTTTTTAAACTCGATTAAAGAGATGGATGCCTCACACCTATCATTACTAACAATTACTGAAGTTAATTCGCCCACTTGTCAATCACCTACACCGTAAGCCACGTCTCTTTGTCCTAGTCGTACTCTTGCTGACGTAAAGAACAGGTGTATTCCTATTCTATTACTATTGGATTATTATATTGCCATTATTGGATTATATTACAGTTTTATATTCTCAGTGCAATTTTATTTTCGCCTTGGAATATATTTGAAGATGTAGATAGTGTCAACGGGTTTTGTATTTGGATTCACACAAGGTTGCTTGCAATGTTTTGTTGTGAAATGGTATATATTCGTTTATTTTATAACTGTTTCGAAGTCACACACTGTCCGTCTTAATTATCCCTGTTGGTTAAGAAAGGGGGTCTTTAAACCTATTTCATTTAATATCATGTCGTTTGATATTATAGCCTTAGTGTAAACGATTAGCATTAAAACACATCTCCTTAAACAGTGGATATACATATTAAGTTGCAAATGGACAAAGGCGCGTATACACGTGACTGAATGGGTCAAATTTGAAAAGCTGTGGGTAACTAGGAAATCTTAGAATCGGTGAAACTGATCTAAAATCATCTTAATGTAATATGAATGTATATTTAATTATTAAAACAATAATTGTAATATCTAATCAATACATTAACAGTCCAAATTGAACAACAGTCGTTTACTTTACGTCTTCTTATTTCATTCTATCCCTTTTTTAAAAATTATTATTTTGTTGTTTGAGAATCAGCCATTACAGACGGATCCATTGTAATAGTTATTAATGTATAAAATGTTACAAACAAAGACAATCAGACTTCTGCCAAATTCAGCCTGGTTTAACAATGATATCCTTGAAGCAAAGAAACTTCGAAATAAAGCAGAACGTAAGTGGCGCGAAACAAATCTCACAATACATGAACAGATATTTAAATGTAAAAAGAATACAGTTAATCATTTAATACGCAAGGCTAAAAAGTCCTACTACTCGGATAAAATAGAGACTGGTCAAAACAAACAGAAAGAGTTATTCAGAGTAACAAGTACACTTCTTGATCCAAACTATGGCGCCACTAAGCTTCCAGAAACTGTGCCTGTACAGGAACTCCCAGATAAATTCTCTGCTTACTTTTCTCAGAAGATTGTCAAGATTCGTGAAGGATTGGTTACTGAGATCAGCGGACATGTCTATCATAAGAATTTGTCTTCTGAAGTTCCAACTCTCTCTCATTTCAAACTCGTGTCTGTGTCCGAAGTGGCTAAAGTTATAAATCAGTCTTCCTCAAAATCATGTTCACTTGACCCCCTCCCGACAATATTGTTAAAAGAATGCCTACCAACCATTGTACCTATTATGACTGACATTATAAACACTTGTATTTGTGAAAACACTGTTCCTGACGACTTCAAAACCGCAATCATCTTCCCACTAATTAAGAAATTCAACTTAGATCAGAATCTGGAGAAAAATTACAGACCAGTATCTAACCTGAGTTTCCTATCTAAAACCTTAGAACGCGTAATAGCAAGCCAACTCACATCCCATATCAGTGACAATAATCTAGTGGAAGAGTTTCAGAGTGCTTACAGGAAGTTTCATAGCACCGAGACCGCTATTGTTCGGGTACACAATGATATCAACATGAGTTTAGATCGCCGTGAATGTGTGCTTCTAGTTCTCTTAGATTTATCCGCGGCTTTTGACACTGTAGATCACAATATTTTGCTTCACAGGCTACAATCTGATTTTGGTGTTACTGAAAACGCTCTGAGTCTGTTACGCTCTCATGTCACTAACCGCTCACAAAGTGTTGTAGTAAACGGAATATCTTCTAGCCCTTCTGTTCTGGCTTCCGGTGTACCACAAGGTTCCGTCCTCGGACCGATCTTGTTTAGTCTATACACTAAACCACTTGGCCTCATAGTAAGACATCATGGATTATTATTTCATCTATATGCGGATGATACACAGTTGTACATTTCGTTTAAACCTATCAAAAGTAACTTCGACATTTCCAAGCTAAGTATTGAAACTTGTATTGTGGACATTAAAATCTGGATGAACAACAATTTTTTGAAACTTAATGCAGATAAGACTGAGTATTTGGTTATTGGGTCGTCTTTAAACAGGAAAAAGTTGAACTTCGATCTGTCAATACAAGCAGGAGATAGCTGCATTGCCCCTTCTCAATCAGCCCGAAATATTGGTGTAATTTTTAACTCAAATTTTTCTTTGGAAAATCACATAAACAATATTTGCAAAATAAGTTATTTTAATTTAAGAAACATAGCTAAAATACGTAAATATCTGTCAGTAGATGCCACAAAAACACTAATAAATTCATTAGTTACTTCGCGTATTGATTCTTTTAATTCTGTCCTGTACGGTGCACCCCTCAAACATCTTGAAAAATTGCAAAAATTACAAAACTCAGCTGCTCGCCTTATTTCTGGAGCAGTATATAGGGATCATATTACACCTATTCTATATAAACTACACTGGCTTCCTATTATTTTTAGAATTGATTATAAGATTTTATTATTAGTTTTTAAATGTATAAATAACATGGCACCTATTTATCTTAGTAATCTTTTAGGTTTTTATGAACCTCGTCGACAATTACGGTCTTCCGGTGACAATCTGCTACTTATTGAGAAAAAAGCTAATCTCGTCAGTTTCGGCGAGAAGGCTTTTGGGGTAGCTGCCCCCAAACTATGGAATAAACTTCCTCATTCCATTCGGTCATGCACTTCTCTGTCATCATTTAAGATTTCTCTAAAAACGCACTTGTTTAATAGGGCTTTTAATTAATCATCTCTGTGATAACTATACTTATATTTTATGCAATACTTCCTTTTACTCAACTTTTATGTATATTATTCACTTTTTATGTTTTAATCTTATATTTGTTCTGTCAATCATATTATCTTTATTGTAAAGCGTCATTGAGCACTTTTGTGGAAATGGCGCTATATAAACGCTTATAAATAATAATAATAATAATAATAATATGTTTCGAAAATGGTTTGGATCTAAACAGTAAATTGACTAGTTATTTATCATAACCACACAAAACATATACCATCGTATTGTAAAAGTGTGGTTTTCGGTGGTTTTTAATCTGAATATAAGAGAGATCCAATATTGTCGTTTCAAAGTAATTTATGAAGTGAAGATCATCATTATTCAAATTCAACATTAATAACAATATAACGTAAATACTATGTAAAGGATGGTGTAGCTTATAATAATATATATACATAGGGTGGTGTAGCATATAAGAACAATAATAATATATGTATAATTTCAATGTAATACAATAGAGCTAACTCGCTTGTGAAGAGGTACAAGTTACTGATGTAGAATTTCTTAAATGTACGATCCTTATTAAATGTAACTAATAAATATAACTATTAAATCTTTATTAAATATAACTATGAAATCTTTAGTAAATATAACTATTAAATCTTTATTCTCTATTTAGCAACAAGTATTAATGGAAAATAACATATACCGTACTTTTTAGTCACTAATTATTTCCACTAATCTAAATAACACATTTCTTTAATAAACAAGTAATCTATCGAATATATAGTACTTTTCCGTCTATTAAAAATATATATTGTAAAATATTCGCTAGAAGTTAAACAAGTAATAAATCATGTAAATCCTTACTTTTCCGTTTAATTTAGCGCGAACCATTTCTAATTATTAATTATCTGTTATTGAAACATATTTAAACAAACAAGTATTTCGTCGACAAACGTACTTTTCCGTTTTAATAAATATATATATATTGTAAAATATTCTCAAGTAATTAAACAAGTAATGAATCATATCAATTCTTACTTTTCCGTTTATTAATTAATATTTTACGTAGATGTAGAAATATCTATTAATGTAATACTCGATTCTACTAATCGTATTGATTCGATATAAAAGGATATAATTCTAAGTCAAAGGTTAGAATAAAATATATATAAAGTTTAAACAATTAAAATATACATAGAGGCTTACCTGAATATAAGTGAGATCCAATATTGTCGTTTCAAAGTAATTTATTAAGTGAAGATAATTGTGAAAGTTTAGCTAGATATATTTATATCTTCCAAAAATCCCGGCAAATATTAGAGATGCCACGTGTTGGATTAATCTCATTTTTTGATTGGTGGAAGACCATTTACGGAAGACGCCCATTACTCGATACGAAATCTGATTGGCCGGATCTAGACTCGCTTGACTTAATATGTCAGGTAACGACTACCCGAGTAATAGCGTCAGTGTAATCTTAGGTATTGTTTTTAAAGTTAAAGCTGTCACCATTAATCTTACTTAATTACTTTAAAATAAACAACCAATAAAGGACCCTCTATTCAAGTTCTTCTATATCAGTAAACAATTATATAATATGCTTAAGATCTATTGACACCAAATCAGCGTCAAGGTTGATTTATGCAATATAGACTCGACGTCTTTAATAAACATATATACATTTAAAATAAACTATATAATCTATAAAATATACATTTTTTTAAAATGCATAAGAATAAAATATCTAAAATAAAATATATTGCATATTTTGTCAATGTACACTGTTACAGTATTTCCAACCAGCATACTAATACAATACTCACATTCTTGGCAAAAGACAGCTGAGCATTGATTGAAATTGACAAAATTTAATTGACAAAAAAAACGATATAAAATCCGTAACACATTCTTTTTACATTTGACTTTCAGGAAATTGATAGTATACTGTTTGGATGCGAGTGATACAATACTAATTTGTGGATAAAAATTGTTAAACTTTCACCGGATCTTCTGTGAGGTGATTCAGAAATTTATCTACACTATAAGGTAAGCACAAAAACCGAGCCCCGCGTCTTATTGGTTCAATTACGGAGAACTACAGGTATCGAAGTTCGGGGGAGGGGGGCAGAGGACACTGTATAAGGTCGCTGTGAACACCTTCCGCTTCTCTATAAACACCTTAGGCTGCTATTACATAGGGGTATTCGGTATACGTTTAGAGGTATACGCGAATACTTGTGTACGAACAACAGGAATTTGCTTAGCCGTTTACAGCGGACTATACGCGTATAGGGGCACGCCAACGCGTATACCTGGTATCGTGCATGTTCGTTTTTTTTTTCGGCGTATACATGCTTCATGGAGGAGTAAATTCCATGAGATGAGTAGAAAATGGGGCATTTGTGTTGTAAAAAGTTCGAATCAAAAATTCTGAACATTGATGGACATATCTCTAGTCATGATAGACTATTCTAGATTATCATGAACAGTGATTTCCAGTTATCCCCCCCCCCCCCCCTCAATATTGGAATAAGCCGACTCCAAGCCTGACCGTCACGCCACCATACTTTACGCCTCCCCAAGTAAAAACCAAGTCAGAGTTTCGTCTTCTTCTGAATCCATTCTGTTTGGATATGAATGAGCCTCGATGAGGGTACCAAAATCGTTTGGGAAAATACAGTATACCTACGTATAGTATATGTCGTGTAAACCACCGTGCCCGTATACCGTATACCGAAGACCATATATCGTATTCCCCTATGTAATAGCAGCCTTAGGCGAACACGTCTTCACAGTCAATAACTTACACATCACACTTGAAAAAAGCTATTTGCATCGCTATGACTCGCGTGGTGTTAGTAGTGTGTGTGTGTGAGTTAGTTTTATTTAACGTCCGCTTCCACCGAGGTGATATCGCAGACAATGGGTTAGGTTTATTGATACCCATATTTATAGTGTTTCTTATAGCGGCTGACTAGTGTTAGTAGATAGCCCGTATATTTATGAATTACAGTGTTATGTACAGATTGTATGACGTAGGACTTATATTTGCCATCCGATTGGATGGTTGAGTCTGCGATATAATACGCACATTTAACAATTATACAGGAAATATAGAGAGATCAATGTGATGAATCAGTACATTATTCTGGATGCATATTTCAGAGCGGGATTAGCAAGTATAACAGTTGTTGGCTTTGTGTGGTTACAAGTGTTACCGATGTCATAGTGTCGTGTTTTAAACGTGTAAATATAGTATCATTACCAGAGCTTTACCTTTCTTTAGTAAGTATACATTTTGTTCTCTTTTATTTCTCAGGACTTTGTTGGAAAAAGTTAAACGCTGCTGATGAATCAAGTCTGTAGGCAAAGGCGTTTGTTTTAAGGGGTAATTCGTCGCGAGGTCCCGTGTACACATTGGCGTGCACATAAAAAAAGAAATAAATTGGCAGTTGGAATTCGATATAGTGCCATTGTCTGGTCAAACTCCCCCCCCCCATAGCACACTGTATGGCATATGACCGTTTTCATTAGCCCAGTTGGGTCAGGACTTTAAACCCATTTCATTTTGTTTCAGCATAAACGTCATCTAAAAACCGATGAGGGTAACAAGAGAGCGCAGCCGTCCGCCCCGGATTACTTCCTAGGTGCACCTATAATGCGGGGATTTTGTACCGTTTAAAACTAAAGTCAATTAGCTAATCTCATCTCACGGTTACAAATAAATACAGTGTATTACCCCCATCTTCAATTTTTAAGTTTTGTTTTATTATATTTACAGACAATATGGCAATTCCTGAAAATTATTCCGGTTGCCAGGAGAGCCAGATGCCCACCGGAAACAACTGTCAGATGGTAATTAACCCAATACAAGTTCGATCATTTTCTGTTACGATCCGTGAGTTTTCTGTTAGTCGCCGTGTGGAATTGGAAAATTCAAGAATTAGGAATACATCGTTTGTATCTGTGGCAAGAATAATCCGACGAACACAACAATTGTGAATGTGGTAAATTGGTTCTGTTGTATGTTAAATAGGCGTTAAACCCTATTCACCCCCTCCCTCTTGGAGCAGTTATTTGCCTTCAGGGCTGGATTAACCTGTGTGAGGAGGGGGGGCAGTGTGAAAAATATATTGGATTTGATCCATTTCGAGGTGTATGTTTTGTATTAGTGTATTAGAACATAAGTTTGAAACTTTAATCAAGGTTAATATACCAGCCACTCCAGTTTAAAACATCGGTTAACGAGCGTCTGGATATAAGAGTATGTCTGGATGAAAGAGAATGAAAGCGCGTGTTGCTTGCAGATTGAATTGGTATAGATGAACCAAAACTAAACAGGGACCCAGGAATTTACATTCCAAGAGCGTATGATCGCATCATTAAAATGTAGTTTACATCGTCTCTGAACTATCCTTTAATTTAAATATTTGTATTGCTTTTAACTTTGTACATCTCCTCAAATCAATTTCAATTTGCTTTACTACATATTGCCTTCACTGTTAGGATTAACTGCTTATGGCTTCAGTTTCACCCCCCATAATACTTGTCCTTTCATCTTTTATTATTACTTTCATCTATAACTAATTACTGTACATATATATATAGATTTATTTAATATGTTTTTACAGCCAGGACCAGTTGCTCGTGACTCATTATACCTGCTAATAATTGTTTGATCCTTTGGCTTCATTCCTGCACTTATCTATACCAATTACAGTTTATAACCATCTATGTACATTGTTTATTTAACGGCTTGGGACAGTTGCTCATGCTTGCTGATTTTGCATCCCATTGGAGGGTTCGCACTGCTCGTGTATATATATATAGCTATTTTGTTTTCATTTTATTTATTTGTGTTATATGCTTGATAACGACTTGTGAAATCTTGTTGAAACGTCGCAGTGAAATAAACCACAGTAATTGTTATCCATAAATAGTGTGTTATTTGATTATGATCCAATTACTAAATGCCATTTAAAGAATATTTATATATGTCTTTCATATTTAGTTCATTCCATTATTATATAAACATTGACAACTATTGGTATACTGTACGTAGATAAATTATTGTTGGTCAATGTAATTTACATATATGCCTTATTGTTGTAAAATTGTCCCATTTTCATTTGTCCAATCGGTGCAGAAAAATAGGACGCTAAACTCCAGTTCATTTCATTTGTAAAATCGTATAGTATCTTAAAGCTAATAAATATAATCTAGGGGAGATAACCACAATTTCATATTTTTGATAAATATTTAACCGCTTGTTATCAATTTATTTTTGTTTTCAGTAAACCATGACATATATTAATTAAAATTATAAAAATTGTCATAACCACGTACAGTGTACTGATTTGTAAATAAATAATTATTAAACACATTTTGGACTACTATATATTGTAGGGTTGGATTTCTATTTAATATTTAATGGCTGACTGTTCTTCTCATATTTTGTGTCAAGGTTGTGTTTCTATATATAGTTAGAACTGGTTCTACGGCCTATATATTATTTTGTTTATAGGGCCGTTCCCCTTTTACCTGTCATGCCTCGCTATACATCCTATATTTTGTGTTTCTATACAAAGTATAAGTTAGAAACGACTACACATAATTTATTTGTCATTCCTATGTCAATTTAAATAAGACAATTAAGTTTTACGTTCTACTTTTCTGCACTAACCGGGAAGATAAAGACGGGTAGATGAAACGTATTCATAACTAGAAAGATCGAACTCCACCCATAGTTTACAGACATAATTTGTAGAAGCTGTAACTCATTTACTGTAGTTTATATACAGATGTCTGTCCAGATACTATTATATAATACAGTGTATTAGAATTTCACGTAGGCTCGATAGTGGTATGCTGAAATTGATTAAATCCTTCCGGAAAGAATACAAGTGCAACGGCCATATTTAAAATTGTTATATAGCTCACTTTATCATGTATAACTGCTTACCTTTGTTTGAGAATTCATGATACAAACTTAATCCAAAAGAATATCTTAAGTGATCCAAGTAATCCATAAACGTTAGAACTGATATTATTAATTCAAATAGTTTTACTTTAAACATTGCGTCGATTTATGCCGAGCGAGAATTAATGTCATGAAAACCTTGCCCATTATAATGACGTAACGTTGCTATATGGGTCAAATTTGAGATCACGTGGCTAACGCCTTATGAAAATTTAATATCGCTTGCAGCGACATTATATCACTTACAAGTGCCAAATAAACGTAATCCCTTTTTTTACGGCCACATGCCGTCCATTGTCCACGAATATTTTTTTGTGATAAAGAATAGTGACAATATTTAACAGTAATTGTGTAATGTTTTTAATGTGTAATCTTATCAGAATAATAATTTTATATACACAATAATATGGCAATATAATTAATTGTTTTATCTGTAGTTATTGCCCATTTTCATTTACCATTTACTAACCACATGAAACTTGTTGCAAAATATTCAGCATATCCACATGTGTCGAAAATCGCCGATGCCAGACATTTTCCATGGTGGGGTATCCCTGCCAGATGCTCTTAATTGCCCCAACCCAAAAGCTAAGTTAGACTAGCTCATTTACTAACGGCATGAAATTTGTTGCAAAATGTTCAGCAATTAAGCACGAACTTCATCCAGAATGTGAGTACTGGCAGCAAGCTTCTTTGATCGTTATAGGGAAAACAACTACCGTTGCCAGTCACTACATGACCTGTTTCTAATCTACATACATGATATCATAAATAATATAAATTCAAAAATTCGCGTATTTGCCGACCGCACTACACTATATCTAAAAATTGATGATCCAACTGCTAATGCCGATACCATATAATGACCTAGAAAAACTAAATAGATGGACTTAAAAAGGCTGATATCCTTTAACCCCTCAAAAGCGGGACTAATCAACTAGAGAAATTTGACCAAATTCCTATAAAAGAAGTCAATGAACATAAACATCTCGGTTTCATCCTTCATTCAGGGGATCACGTGGCTAAGTGGGTAAGACGCTAGCTCGCTAGCCTGGAGGTCGGGTGTTCGATCCCTGCATTGGCCGAGAAAGTTCATCCAGATTTTCCGGCGTGGTTCTCCCTTGTCAGTGATGCAGGACGGAGGGGCTGACAAGGAAATCTGTCTAGTCGTTCGGATGGGACGAAAAACCGAGGTCCCGTGTACAAATTGGCGTGCACGTAACAGATCCCTTGGCAGTTGGAATTCGATATAAGAGTAGGCCGTAGTGCCGCTGTCCGGGCAAAATTTCCCTCACAGCACACTGTATGGCGTATGCCCGTCTTCATTAGCCCAGGTTAGGAGCAGAACAGTAGGACGTTAAACTCCATTTCATTTCATTTCATCCTTCATTCAAACTGCAAATGTCATTTCCGTCCTCTATTAAAACAAGCCAACAGTGAGCTGGATGTTCCCGGCTTAAATCACAAAATAAATAGATGACACATATTAATTAATCACATTAATAGCCCCCTGCTTTCTTCGAAAGGCGGGGAAAAAAGCAAACAATTAACTGCTTACGGTCATTAGAATATAGGCTTAATATAAAATCTCCGCAAACTTGGGTACACCGATGACAATACTAATAACGTAGAAAACTTACAATTAGATATACTTAATAGCGATATGTGGGACTGTAAAGGGGTACCAGGAATAAACGCAACCGGGATTATAATGGTACAGGAAACTGACACTTATTTATATAATTATTAATGAACTAACACCTGCATGGTTTAAAATACTTCTGTAACGACCAGATACTTATCATAATGAATTTATTTCAGAAAATGTTTTAGACAATTTATTTACTAATTAATTACTTATAATTACATGTATACCGTTTATTTACAATCTGTGATATAATTGTCTTTTAATGTTTTATTTTTATATTGTAAACATTTGAATGTATGTATCTGGATTTTAATTTTAAAAAAAAGACGCTGGCTCGCTAGTCTGGAGGTCGGATGTTCGATCCCTGACAAGGACAGCTGTCTAGTCGTTCTGATGGGCCGGAAACCCGCGGTCCCTTGTAGACATTGGCGTGCACGTAAAAGATCCCTCATAGCACACTGTATGCCGTATGCCCGTCTTCATTAGCCCAGTTCGGAGCAGAACAGTGGGGCGTTAAACCCCATTTCATTTCATTTCATAGTACTCACATTCTTGACAAAGGCTGTTTATCATTGATTTCGTTTTCAGTGATAATATAAATTAAAAGCAAGAATTTAACCGGCGAATAAAATCGATACAAAAAAATAATGCATTCTTTTAATATTTTACTCTAAGGAAATTGATAGGTACTGTTTGGATGCCAGTGATACAATACTCATTTTGTGCATACACATTTTTAAAAATTATCACCGTGTCTTCTGTGAGGTGATTCAGGTAAGCTAAGAGGTAAGCAAAAAAAAACGAGCCCTGCGTCTTATTGGTTTAATTTAGGAGAACTATAGGGACCAGGGGCCTGTTTCACGAAATTTTAACTAAGATAAAATCCAAATTTTAGTAATTTGATTGGATAATATTAGATTGATTTTAGTGCTTAGCCAATCAAAATCGAAGTATCTACTAAAATTGGATTTTATCTTTAGTTAAGATTTCGAGAAACGGGGCCCAGAGTTGGGGTCAGAGGTCACTGTAGAGATCGCTGAGAATGTCTCCCGCTTCTTTATCACTGACAACTTTGACAAGGTTGTCTTACTTTCCAGTAATCATTCAAAAACTTTCATGACATACCTGGATAGTGTATTCCTAATTTAAAGAAAGACTTGACAATGGAATTGAGTTTTGTGGCACGTCAGCCCCAACCGAGCTATATTGCGCCAAACATATGGTGAATTTTACGAGACAAATTAAAACATTATCACAGAACTAAATATATGTAAATAAAAACAAATACATGTATCACAGAAAATATAATTAATAACAAATATAAAGTCCTTTACATAAATAAATATTTAAAACGTTATAATAATTTGTCTCCTCTAAAGCATCGAGTTGAGCAAGTAGCTTACATGTTGACAGGCAACGGTAAAAGGAACATGACACTGAACAAATTCTGGTTGAGCTAAACAATAAAAAACACATGTACATGCGAGAGTGACAAATTTTCTCGATCGCTATGACTCGTGCGGGTGTTGTTACACTGAAAAAAAACTTGTGTTGAACCAACACAAACTTGTGTTGTTTTCAACACAAGTTAGGTGTCTTTCTTTAACAACACAAACTTGTGTTGAAAGAACACAAACTTGTGTTAAATGTTGAAACAACACAAGACTTGTGTTAAAATTTACCAAACAACACAAACTTGTGTGAAAATCTACACAATACTTGTGTTGAAACTTGTGTTGAAATTTCTGAAACTTGTGTTGAAATTTCTGAAACTTGTGTGGTTTCATAAAAACTTGTGTATAACCACCAACAAAAACTTGTGTTTTATTTTCCCTCAATTTAGCAATCTTTCCCATGCAGCCCCCACCCCTTTTGCTCTGTTTAACCTGTAAAGTTTGATAAATGAGGTAACAATAATTTTATTTGTTAAATTATCATTTATTCATAAAATGACAGGAAAAGTAAATTAACACCACCAAATCAAAACTAAATAGACATCATTTGAAATGTTAACAGAAAAACAGAGATATAATTCTAATACTAATAAAAATGTTGTTAAACTTTGCCCCCCCCCCCACATTACAAAATACAAAATAGCTATTTAATTTTTTTTTTACCCGAAAACAAGAACTGAGAAAAGAAAGATCCCTACCCCATACCCAAAAAATATATAATTCAAATATATCTATATTTAATAACATCCAAACCAAGCCCTAATTAGATTAAATATGCACTAAATTGAAATACTTTCAGAAACTGAAAAGTGCTACAAAGTCATATTACAAGTGATTTGTGAGGCATCTAGAAATAACTAGCATACACAGAAAACTAACAAAAGAAAAATGCACTATTTTGCAGGAGTAATAAAATGATGTAGAACCTTTTCCTCATTAAAAAAAAAACAACAAACAAAATGAATATTTTGTACATAAAAGGAGCAAAGCATCAAGATTACAGGATTGAAAAATAAAAAAATATCAGAGAAAATCGCAAACATTAAATAATATGTACAAAATATATATAAATAATTATGAGTCAAAAGCAAGGAGGAGTCACTGTGGTTCAGTGAGTATAAGGCATTGGCCGAGAAATTTCAACTGGATTTTCCGACATAGTTCCCACACGTCAGTAGTGTAGGACATAGCAAGGGATAATTGGGTATAAGCCCGGAATTGAAACTACCCCCACTGCGTTTACTTTAAAGAAACCTTGACAATTGAATTATCTGACTCAATGACAGACCTTCTGATCCAATGTGCGTGTGTTAACCATTTGGCCCTCCTGGGTTCCCTTTAAACAACCCTTGACAGTTGAAATATTTGTTATAAGAGTAGGTTGTAGGACAGAAACACCATAATAACACAGAAAAGTAGGATCTTAAACCCTATTTCATTTCATAAGCAGGGGAAAGTCACCTTAATGTAGGTCAAGGTTTTTTGTAATTCTGGGTATATTTGATCTACATTTGGTTTCTAGATTATGCCTATTAAATACTTTATGATTTCCGACCAAATTCTAAGTGATTAATATGTCACTTTACATTCTATATTATACATAAATTTCTGTAGAGAATTAAAATCTAATTGTGTTTGGGAAGAATATTTAACAGTAAAAACAAAAAATAAATATTCAAAAATTGGGTCAAATGCATTCTTTTCCAGAATTATAAAATAAATTGATGCTTGGGATCTCTTGTTGTTATCATACACCAAATAATCTTCCAGTCTAAAAAATAAAAAGTAGGCAATAAGTATACTTTCTTACTATTTATGGTTCACAATGTTTAAATAAACAATTTATTTTGCCACATCGAGACTGAGTCTCTATTTTGTTTCATCTTTGGGTAACACTTATTGTGTCTTGTCCAGTAACAGACCCAGGCAGATTATTATATTTTATTTCCATCGACAACAAATTGGATATTACCTATTAAAATCTATTTGAAAAGTAAACAAGCCAACAGTGAGGCTGATGTCCCCCGCTGAAATCCCGAAATAAATAGATGACATATATTAATTAATTGCATGTTTATCTTTTTCAAAAGTATCCAGCAATCAAACTGATTATTAAGTATACATTAAGTTTCATCACTCTCTATCAGATAGAATCAAAATAAACAAGGCATTGACCTAATAAACACATACACCAAGTTTGAACATTCTAGCTCAATTAAAAGTTATCGTGTCCCAAAGCATCAACCAATCAAATTGCTTATCTCTGCTTACCCTAAGCGGAAAATGCTCATCTTCGAACTCCATCAAGGCATTGACCTAATCAACACATACACCAAGTTTGAACATTCTAGCCCAATTAGGAAGAGAGTTATCGTGTCCCAAAGCATCAACCAATCAAATTGCTTATCTCTGCTTACCCTAAGCGGAAAATGCTCATCTTCGAACTCCATCAAGGCATTGACCTAATAAACACATACACCAAGTTTGAACATTCTAGCTCAATTAGGAAGAGAGTAATTGTGTCCCAAAAAGTGTGACGGACAGACAGACGGACAGACAGACGGACGAACCCATTTTAATAGTCCCCTGCTTTCTTCGAAAGGCGGGGGACAAATATTGTCCATCATTTTTATACTGCTATTTACTGTAAAAATACACATATCACAACTTGAAGAAAATCAATGGATGTGATTGTCAAAAATCAAGAATGCCAAGACTTGAAATAGGAGAGTCCTAGGCATTGCCTCAAGAAGAATAACTAGATTACCAATCAAGTGTATAGAACTAGTTGATGATTAAAAATACAAATATGTATGTTACTTACATTTTACCTGATTATCAAGCTCTGTGAGAAAAAGTTTCCATAATATGAATAGCCATTTCCAACTGTCTTGATCTTTCTGATGCAGTTAACTGAGAAAAAAAACATACTATGTATTAGTTGACTTAAATCTACTCGACAGTTAAAAGATGAAAGTTTTAATTTAATTACATTGTATTGTAATGTGTTGGTTTGCTTTGTCACAGATGAGACAAAATGAAAAAAATGAAATGAAATGGGGTTCGGCGTCCTACTGTTCAGCTCCGACTGGGCTAATGAGGTTGGGCATATGCCATACAGTGGGCTATGAGAGAAATTTTGCCGGGTACCGTGACCCTAAGGCCTACTCTTGTATCAAATTCTAACTGCCAGGGGCTCTTTTACATGCACGCCAATGTGTACACGGGACCACGTTTTTTTGTTCAATCTGAACGACTAGACAGCTGTCCTTGTAAGGCCCTCCGTACTGCATTGTCTTACTGCAAACCCGCGACCTTAAAATATGCGAGCCAGTGTCTAACCCACTTGGCCACCGTGGTCCCCCACAGATGAGAGGGTCATATCTACATGTATCTGGACATAAGTAAGATTCTGTTTGTGCACATACATTTACGTGTAAAAATTTACTATACTAAACTGAATTTTAAATTTCAAAACAATAAAATGAAATGGAGGTTTATGTCACATCAGCTCCAACCGGGCTATATTGTGCCAAACACATTATGGTGAGATTCTAAATTACCATAACAACCATCTTTTCTCTTAGAATTGAACTCTCACCCTCCAAAAACACCTATGAGAAAGCATAGGTGCTCAAATCACCATTTCTTCAGCTCTTTCTTTTTCCATATTTGGGTTTTTTGACTTATTTTATTATATGATCTTTGATTTGCTATGGCATCTAATATGGAAACAGAAAAATATGAATATGTGACATGTAATAAACGATACCTTACCATATACAAACTGTGTGATACCTAAAACCATTTGAATCCCGAAGATCTTACCCAAGCCGCGACCTTAAAATATGCGAACCAGTGTCTAACCCACTTGGTCACCGTGGGTCCCCACAGATGAGATAGTCATATCTACATGTATCTGGACATAAGTAAGATTCTGTCTGTGCACATACATGTACGTTCACAGTTTTACTAAACTAAACTGAATTTTAAATTTCAAAATATTAAAATGAAATCGAGGTTTATCTCACATCAGCTCCAACCGGGCTATATTGTGCCAAACACATTATGGTGAGATTCTAAAATACCACAACAACAATCTTTTCTATTAGAATTGAACACTCACCCTCAAAAAACACCTATGAGAAAGCATAGGCGCTCAAATCACCATTTCTTCAGCTCTTTCTTTTCCCATTTGTGTTTTTTGACTTATTTTATTATATGATCTTTGATATGATCTAATATGGAAACTGAAAAATATGAATATGTGACATGTAATTAACTGTTTAAGATACCTTACCATATACAAACTGTGTGATATCTAAAACCATTTGAATGACGAAGATCTTACCTAAGCCGTGAAAATCTGTTTTAATAACCCTTGTTTGTCATGTGACTGGACTGTCACAGTAATTAGAAGAGAGCCATGTGGCTTAGTGTGTAAGGCATTGGCTTGCTACCCGGGAGGTTGCGGGTTCACTCCCAGTGTTGACCGAGAAAGCTCATTTGGATTTTTCAGCATGGATTCCCTGTCTAGTCGTCATGGTGGCTAAGTGGGTAAGACGTTGGCTCGCTAGTCTGGAGGTCGGGTGTTCGATCCCTGCATTGGCCGAGAAAGTTCACCCAGATTTTCCGGCGTGGTTTCCTCTTTTTAGTGATGCAGGACGGAAGGCCTGACAAGGACAGCTGTCTAGTCATTCTGATTGAACAAAAAAACGTTGTCCCGTGTACACATTGGCGTGTATGTAAAAGATTCCCTGGCAGTTAGAATTTGATACAAGAGAAGGCCTTAGGGTCACGGTACCCGGCAAAATTTCTCTCGTAGCACACTGTATGGCATATGCCCAACTTCATTAGCCCAGTCCTCCGTACTGCATTGTCTTACTGCAAACCCGCGACCTTAAAATATGCGAGCCAGTGTCTAACCCACTTGGCCACCGTGGTCCCCCACAGATGAGAGAGTCATATCTACATGTATCTGGACATAAGTAAGATTCTGTTTGTGCACATACATGTACGTGTACAAATTTACTATACTAAACTGAATTTTAAATTTCAAAACAATAAAATGAAATGGAGGTTTATGTCACATCAGCTACAACCGGGCTATATTGTGCCAAACATATTATGGTGAGATTCTAAACTACCATAACAACAATCTTTTCTCTTAGAATTGAACACTCACCCTCCAAAAACACCTATGAGAAAGCATAGGTGCTCAAATCACCATTTCTTCAGCTCTTTCTTTTTCCATATTTGGGTTTTTTGACTTATTTTATTATATGATCTTTGATTTGCTATGGCATCTAATATGGAAACTGAAAAATATGAATATGTGACATGTAATAAACGATACCTTACCATATACAAACTGTGTGATATCTAAAATCATTTGAATCCCGAAGATATTGCCCAAGCCGTGAAAATCTGTTTTAATAACCCTTGTTTGTCATGTGACTGGACTGTCACAGTAATTAGAAGAGAGCCATGTGGCTTAGTGTGTAAGGCATTGGCTTGGTACCCGGGAGGTTGCAGGTTCGCTCCCAGTGTTGACCGAGAAAGCTCATTTGGATTTTTCAGCATGGATTCCCTGACTAGTCGTCATGGTGGCTAAGTGGGTAAGACACTGGCTCGCTAGCCTGGAGGTCGGGTGTTCGATCCCTGCATTGGCCGAGAAAGTTCACCCAGATTTTCCGGCGTGGTTCTCCCTTGTCAGTGATGCAGGACGGAGGGCCTGACAAGGACAGCTGTCTAGTCATTCGGACGATACGGAAAAACGAGGTCCCGTGTACACGTTGGCGTGCACGTAAAAGATCCCTTGACAGTTGGAATTCGATACACCGCAGTGCCGCTGTCCGGGCAAAATTTCCCTCATAGCACACTGTGTGGTGTATGCCTGTCTTCATTTGCCCAGTTCGGAGCAAAACAGTAGGACGTTAAACCCCATTTCATTTCATTTCTAGTCGTTTCAATGGAACACAAAACCTGAGGTCCCATTGGCGTGCATTTAAGCCGATAGTATGGTTGTTGGAATTTGTTGGCTGTAGCACCCGTGTCACAGTTCGACTGCTAGTTTGTGATACCCACTCGATATGAATGAGTGGTGATTGGCTAATGAATTCTAAAATCAGACGAATGCTTCGGCGAAGCGGACACACCACTCAAATACAATTCAGCCAAATATATCAAACATGTTTGATTCAGGCGTATGTCAGTGGATAAACTAGGTGAAGTTTAGCGCCAATTGATTCAGCCGAATCCTTTGGCTAGTTTATCCAGCACTGACGATTTAAGTTTGTACTTTCTTTATATGCAAATATCACATTTGAAAGAGGCTGTAGGCCTACTTTCTTTATATGCAAATATCTTATTTGAAATAGGCCATTAGTATGTGATTTCCCACTTGAATGTGACTAGGAATAGGGTCGCCTCTCCAGCCTTGTGGGTTTTCTCCGGGTCCTCCAGTTTCCTCCCTTTGATAAATACCCCTAGGGTGTATTCGAAACAGTGTTCCGGTGCAGAGAACGGACGGAGAATGGGTTCTTGTCGGACTTGAGCAGTCTGGAATGCGTTCACGAACACTTTCCCGTTCTCAAATCCCACAATACCTCATAGCTGGTGTGAGGGAGAACAAACATGGTCGACGCATCGATAACTGCTGAGAAAACAGCATCATGGGTGCATTTATTAATTTAAAAGTTTAATACCGTTCGAAAATTGGATGTAGTATGTGGCCAGTATAACATCAAGTAAGTTAGGTTGCCAGGCAATGAAACATATGCCCACAGCAGTTTAATCGTTTGCACAGTCAACAGGGATTGTTGCATATTCATTCTTTTGTAGGTAATTTGGGCATTTACAAGAAAATTTCATACAAGATTATAATTTTCGTCGTTTGTGGGTTTACAAAGGTCGACGCATCGATAACTGCTGAGAAATTTGTATGAAATTTGACAGATTTTTTTGTTTTGTGTTTTACTAATTTAAATAATGCATACAAATTTCATACAAATCGGATGATAATTTTGTTGTTCGCGCGTTCACAAGGTTTCGAAAAAGTGAAACAAGGGCCACAACTCTAGACATAATTCGCGGAAATCGCAGATTATTGAAATTAAATAGGATTCATCTCATTAAAATAAAGAACATATCAATTTCAAAATAATCAGGTCTGTAGACGACGGACGAGGGCGATGACAATATGCGACCACATTTCCATGTGGGCGTATCAAAAGGTGATGTAATCGTCATCCAAAGAATTGAAAAGGAGTAAAACGGAGTCATAATTTATCAAAATTATGCTTAATAGCGAAGTCAATACCAAACAAGTTATCGTAACAGATTGTATAAATTTAATTCATCTTGTTACCATGGATACCGTTCTCTCATGTTCGAGACTCATGAAAGTGTTTTCATGTTCTACGCGAACACTGTTTCTAATACACTCCTACGGTATGCGCAAACAAATCATTCAAATAAAATTGAACAATATTAGCCTCGAAATTACCTAGCGCCAGTAAGTATAAAGGATCTATCCGACAAACACTAACAACAACTCTAGGTTTATGCAGAATTAATATAACACAACATACACAGATGGCAATAGAATGAGACAGTGTTCAGGAAAAGGGCGGAAACGGAAGAAGACTACCTGTCCTACTTGATTCTAGGACATATAGCATGGACCTACTTGATTCGACCAATTTAATACAAGGAAATGAATGGCATAGTTTGTGTCATGTGAATTTAGTGAACTTTAAACCCCATTTACTCACCCTCTCTCTACAGAGATAAATACTTTTCATGTTACATACAATAACAATTATTGGCCATTATTAAAAAAATATATTAAAAGGAAATGAAATTCTGTTACCTGTTTTTCTTTGTGTAGTACATGCTAACATCAATGACTGGAAAAAAAATAACGAAACTGTAGAGAAACTTCTGAATCATTGAAAGTCTAATATTACTATTAGGCCTACACATAGATGACATTGATATATAAAAAAGGCTGATTTGTTTGTTGTTGTTTTTTTCTTTTACAGAAATAAGATTACATTTCAACTAACACAAAAGTTAGTATCTAGCTATAGTCCTTGTCTGGATATACATTTCTCCTTTTGCCCGAACGTCTATAAAAATCAAAGATGGAGGCCAATAATGGCAACCGGGTATTACTATAAAATCAAGACAGATTCTTACCTGCTGGTCCTAGTCGGGGGTTTCTTGCAATTATAAGTATTTGAACAACGGTGTAGCGCCGATTAGCTAATAATAATTAAGCATGATTTCAGAAAAATTTAGACAGATTCATTAGATTTCTGAATTAGCAGAACACTTTTAGAACACATCAAAAAAAATTTCTTTGTGGCGCCATTATATAAATAGACTTCCGGTGCAGTCAGTGGCAGTGGTTCTAAATCTGACTGTTTTAAATGAAACGAATTATTATATACATAGAAGCAATATATACATGCTAAATTAAATACACGGTTTTATTTTTTGTAAAAATTTACAAACCTGCGGTCTGGTATTCTATGTGACCATTATAATTTTTTTTAAAATATCACAGCTAAAGCACTCTGTTGATGCTAACTTCACTTCATCTAACTGAATGTCGCTGATATAATATCAAAGAAAGAATTTGTCGCAATGACTAAAGTATAGACACTTCTTCTTAGTTAGTTGTATTTTACGTCCGCTTCCACCGAAGTGATATCGCAGACAAAAAGTATAGATAACTTGGAGAACCATTATATCATTAAGTCGATTATGAGATACACGTGGATGGTCAATTAAATTTGATTGGTTACTTTTCAGTTAACCAATACTGTCCAATTTCGATTACATCAACCAATTACATTATTAAGAGTTTTACTCATTTTTTTTGTTCATTGCACATTGAATCAATTTTCGAAAACACCAGGGTGCTGAAAATAACATGTACACTATATATTCATTTGATCTATCAGTTAATTGGGTCAATAAAAAAAAACTATACAGACAACTTAACACCAATTAACATTCAAGTCTGTCTGGCAATTGTCTGATTAATTGGTACTCACTCCCTTCCAGTGAAGAACAGCATGTGATTTTCGAGATGTGAATTAAGCCTGGTGTCATTAATATTATCCCCTCAAAAAATAATACGACAAAAACAAATGTCTATAATTCTGGTCAAGTCAAACCCGCAAACCCAGGAAGTCTAAACCAGGACTTAACTACTCTAGACTCCATAAAAACAACAGTAGTCAACAATGACATTCCTATCACTACCGATACAACAAAAGTTATCCTCAGCCCTGATAGCCATTTTATCAATGATTTTAATAAGTCTATTATTGATACATCTAGTGGTCATGTTTCTTCCACCCCCATTAACACAGGATCCTCAGTGGGTCAAAGTTATTTAGAGGATAACAGTATCATTGACAACTCATCCCATGATATCCCTGAAACATCGCAGTCAAATCTTAACTATGACGCTGATGTCTCATTGTTAAATATCTCTACAGTCACTAAGTGTGACACAGTAAGTAAAAGGGAAAGAAGCCTTGATAGTTTATCCGAAACAGAAATAGATGATAAAAGGGCGCGAGCGGAATCCCCGCTTACCGAAACAGAAGTTTAGAGATCAAACAAATTAAGACGTTATAAGTTCTTGAAACCATATTAGTTAACAATGAAGCCTTCTATCCCTATTATTTACCTAATTATTATGTTAATTTACTCCATAAACGCTCTACAAGGAAATCTTCAAAAGATTAAACAAATTAGCAATATATTTAACAAACTAGATATTGTTTGTATACAAGAAATCCTAAAATCCAATGTCCATCAAATAAAAAATGTTGAAAACGAAACTGGCTATAACTGATACACTGCATATAAAGAAACAAAGATTGGCATTGCCCTATTATTAAGCCCAAACATTATACATAAACTCTACAATACACCTGATGAATTAGCAGGTAGGCTCCAACATCTGGAGGTAAATGCAAATAATGAAACTATTCAAATATTCAATATATATGGTCCCTGCAAGAGAGAATTGAAAACTTATTACTACAAGAGACTTCTTGAATATGTCAAAACTATTCATAATCCACAACATTCTTATATTATTACTGGTGATTTTAACCTTATTGAAAACAGTAAAGATAACAACCATGGCAACATGAATAACCATCCAAAAGATGCTATAAGATATCTACTTGATATACAAAATCTACTTAATATAAGTGATGGTTACAGAATTATCTCCCCTGACACTCCCCTTTTTACCTATCACAACTCACAAGGTCATGCTAGCAGATTAGACCGCATTTACATAAGGCCGTGTTGAATTGATTCCTTGTTTCTCCTGCCACCACTCTGGCAATCATGTGCGGTAGTGCGGTAAACACAACACAAAGTGGGTTTCAAAACACAAAGTGGTCTGGCATAATACCTATATAGTCTGAGGGTTGTGTACCATTTTTAATAATATTATAAATAATCTAGTTATATTATTGGTTAGAATAAAAACACAGATAATATTTAATTAAATAAATTTAATAACAAACTAAAATTTGGTAACAAGTGGCTTCTTTGTTTAACTTTTTAAAAAATGAAATAACCATATTTTGATATAAATTTTCCGTATTCTTGTGTTAAAATACAATGGAAACATTCCAGTTAGACGATATTTGATTTGCTTGTTGAGTTATAGATGGTTTCGATAATATCATCGAACGTGAAAGTGCTGGGAATAACCACCGAAGTCGAGTCGAGATAAGTAAATTCGCGTACCGGTCGGCCTAATTTATTTATTGATGTTCAAGGAAATAATAGTGGTCCCGTTTGTTCGTTCGTTCGTTAAACTCCAGAAACCAACGAACGGGGCCACTATTATTTCCTTGAACATCAATAAATTAGGCCGACCGGTACGCGAATTTACCTATGTCCCGGCATAGCTCACCATTTTGTAAGGCGTGCGTTATTTATTACACAAGATATGATTGGGTAATACTTGAATAATAATGACATGTGTTATAATTTTAGCCAATGAAAAAATTGATTATTCAGGTTCGCGGTTGAATATTAGCGATTGTCTTACAGTTTATAATATGCTTTCTCAATAGCCGAAATGACTGCTACACGCGCCATTTTGCGGAATTCATCCAATCATATACAGTGTAACTTATTCCATAGTATGCGGGCCCCTACATGTGTATTATCAACCGGATCCATTCACTTGATTTGATATTTGTTTATTCGGTGCAATGCCTATTTTCTGTCTTGTACGCAGGTTTATCTTGTAGATTTTTGTTTTGCGTGTAGTGCGGCCCCCTGCACTTACTTATTTAGTTCGTAACGAGGAATAAACAACGAGAATTGACTTCTGATGTTTGGTAGAATTTTATTTAGATGTTATTAACGTAATTTTTTGAATTTTTTTTTTTGTGTTAAAAACGTAAGCGCACGATTTTCGGGGTCCTCGACCTAAGCGCGGGCGAGGAGAAACAAGGAATCAATTCAACACGGCCTAAGTAATAAATATGCAACTTACATCAAATCAATTAAACATATACCACTTCATTTCACGGACCATAAAGCAGTGGAACTAAATATCAACCTTAACAATCTTAAATGGGGTAAAGGATATTGGAAACTTAACAATTCTATTCTAGATGATAAAAACTACCAAAATCAAATTAAAACATTCTGGTCAAGCTGGCAAAACAAAAAATACCAAATCATTGACAACATACAATGGTGGGAAAAAGGTAAAGCCGCTATTAGAAATATTACACAAAATTACTGTCAAGCCTTAGCAGTTGAGAACAAACATATCCTCAGTAACCTTTATCAACAACTGGAATCCCTAGAAAATGAAATACCTAGTAAGAATAACTCTATAAACGAGATTAAATCAAAAATTGAGCTTATAGAATATAATACCAAACAAGGCTACGTTATACGTTCAAAATTAGAAATACCCCAAATTGATGTATCTACTAATTCTAAATTATATAAATTAGCAGAAGTTAAAAAGGGTGCAAAAAAACAAATTAAACAACTGATCAATCAAAATAATACAATCTGTGACAATAAACAAGATATATTAGACACAATTCACCAATTCTACCAACAACTATATACTTCTCAAAATATTAATGATAACTTAATGAAGTCCTATATTGAAAACAGTGACATAAACACACTAACAAACACGGAAAGAGATTCAATATCACATTTTATATCTAGAGATGAAGTCCTTAAGGCGTTACAAAAATTTAGAACAAACCGTAGCCCGGGTATAGATGGTATTCCAGGAGATTTCTACATAAAATTCTTTGACATTATAGGAAACGATTTAACAGAAGTATTAAACAACATCTATCTACAGGGGGAATTATCTAACACAATGAGAACGGGTATCATAACAATTAACTACATGAATAAAGGCGACCATCGATTACTCAAGAACTATAGACCGATAAGCCTGTTATGTGTGGACTATAAAATCATAACAAAAATTCTAAGCACAAGAATAAATTCTGTTATTAACAAATTAATCTCTAATACACAAACAGGAGCTGGACCAAATAAAAGCATTTTTGATAACCTATATTCAATAGATACAATACTAAATTATATAAACACAAATGAGTCCAGTGCCTATATATTATCATTTGACCAAGAAAAAGCCTTCGATCGCATTGAACACAACTATATCATAAATCTACTTAAACATATTAATTTCCCAAATTACATCCTTAACTGGGTTACAATATTGTTTAAAAACTTGATTAGTAAAGTCCAAGTAAATGGATCCTTTTCCCAAAATATTAAAATTAACCGATCGATTCGTCAAGGATGTCCACTATCCATGATTCTATACTCATTGTGTATCAACCCCCTTGCTTCATACATAAACAAAAACATCCTCATAAAAGGCATCAGGATCCCTAACCACCCTTCAGAGATTAAGTTATTTCAGCATGCAGATGACTGTTCTGCTATAATATCTAGACTTTCTTCATACAGCACTCTCCTCGAACAATTCAAAACATTTGGCTCTATATCTGGCTCCAAACTAAACCATGATAAAACTGAAATCCTTTCTGTTGGAAAACCATCACACTACTCCTATCCTGTAAATATAAATATTAATATTAAAACAGATGCTATAAAATTACTAGGCATTTGGTTTGGCTCAAATAAAATGGAAAAGAACTGGCTACCCCTTGTTCAAATAATCAATTCAACCATCCAGACATGGGAAAATCACTCTCTTTCATATAAAGAAAAAGTATGCATCTTAAACACCTATATACTTAGCAAACTATGGTTTGTTGCTAGGATAGTTCCTCCCTCAAACTCAATTATTAAAAACATAAATAAAATAATCTACAATTTCATCTGGGAAAATAAAAGTGAAACAATTAATCGAAACACCTTGAACCTAGAGCATAAAAATGGTGGCCTTAAAGTGCCAAACATTCGACTAAAAATCCAGGCAATGCAACAACAACTTATAGTAAAAGCAATCAAAGACAACAACAGTCCCTGGTTAGGCCTATACATATACTGGCTAGGATTTACTACAAGGGATACTCTGCCAAGATATGCATCCAATAATTATACCCACTCGGAAAAACTCCCCCAATCATATATAGATATAAAAGAAACTTACAATAGCCTCAAATCATCCATCAAATATACATACAATACAAAACTTAAAGACATATACTGGTCCCTAATTGACTTATTACAGACACAACCAAAAATAAATAAACAATTACCTCATGTTGACTTTTCAAAAGTCTGGACAAACCTCTATAAATGCTCCTCCTTATCTGAAAAAGAAAAGGATTTCATGTATACAATCATCAATAATGCAGTACTAACAAAAGATATTATGCTATACAGAAATATATATACTATCAACTATAAATGCCACTATTGTAACCGAGCAACTGAATCTTACCATCATTTATTTCTGAATTGCCCCAAATTAAAATTCTATAAATGTTTCATTACTACACATATAAACAACATTCATTTCACCAAAGAATTCAAAATCAACAACAATACAATCCATCTACACAATATAAAATCTAAATACATTCATGATATATACCTATACCTGTCGATCATATGGTCTAACCGAACACACCCTCTATCCACCAATATTTCACAAGAGCTCATATACCAATTCTATACAAAAAGAAAACAAAAATAAAGATTACTCTCTTAAGCTCGAGTCTTCACTACCTTATGACCCTCCTTAAGCCTAGGATTGTGTCGTCATGTCTGAATTTATACTCTGCAACTTCTCCCATGAAATATTGACTTTGCTACTATAATAAGTAGCTACAACCATAGACATCTTCTTATATTTCTTTCGTATATGAGCACTCATTGCAATTTTTAGTAAGAATGTAGGCCTACAAGCGAAAATAACCAAACACCTGTAGGCCTACCCCATATAAATTCTGGAAAATTTTGTCTTAATTGATAAACCAATATTATACAAAAGGAAATAAAATCGAAATCACCAAGCTTCAGCCTACTCTGCCTTACCGAATTCTCCTGTATAAGGCAAGTTATCGTCCTGTATGAAGCTTCCATATTAATTACTCTACTATATGACTAAACAGACCGTGCTATTTACTTTAAGTTGTCACAATTTGACATCTTAGTCATCTTTCGTTTTCGATAAATGGCACTATCTCACTCTGTCATATAAATAAAATACCTACATGTATACACCCACTGAAATATGTCCAACAGTAAAATAGAAATCCATTAAAAACATTTAAATACTAACTCAAGTTTTACCCGTTTGTTTTACCGCTATTTATTCACTGTAATCAACACTCACCTCTAACATTAACATGGCCATCATAACATCCCACAATTCCCTATGCACGTTCTTTTTGTGCTGGGAAACATCACACTCTCTTTCAACTGTCGCTTTTCCACTACTAGGGTGACCCGTGCACTTTACAGAAAGTTGGTCTCGACACGGCTAAATGTGCACGCTTCAGTTGCGTGTCTTCAGTTTCTGACTACCCCGCACTCGCTTTGAGTCGATAAATAGCCATGGCACGTGCAATTCTCTACAAATATATCAACTATTACAGCCGTAAATAATCTATTATTGATGATTTTGAATAGCAATAAAATTTAGCTTCTTGGTTATTGCAGCAGCTTTAGTAATTACGTTTGTTTTATTTTTTAAATTGCTTTATCATTAACTGTACCGTTAAGAGCGGCATCTTTTGGTTTAGTACAAATACTATCTCTGAATCACTTTCTTTAGTAGGAACATGATACTAGCAGTAGTTTCATTTTACTTTTACAAGTTTCTTAAAACAATTGTTGAGTTGTCTAAAGTGCTTATTTCTAAATTCAATTTCTTGTTCTAGCTTTCTGTTATGTTTCGTAAAAAAGTAGTCTTGATTATCCCAACCTGTCAATCAGACGTAGAATGGTCGATAGACTGGTTAAGCGAGACTAATTTCAAAACAAGGGCACGTAACCTATCTTTTACTCAAAAGGAGGCAGAATTGTAGTTCGTCTATTTATGGACTCTGACTAGCAATTATTTGCCCATTGACTTCAATGTTAAATGACTGTAACATCACAGGCTGTAGCTTTTTGCTCAACATTCCGTTGGTTCCAATCTTTATAGGCACAATGGGGACAACATTTGGCAATCTCCTCATCATAATTTTGTAGGGGGTTGACCGTTTAGATTTTTTGCTACACGGATTTGAAGTTGACAGGGGTGAAAATCTCACTTCCGACACAATGATTGCTCTGCAGAAAGACACTTTACACCCCCTATCCCTCCGCTGTAATATCATCAGTATTACCCAAAACTGCTATGAAATTGCAAATTTGATCCCTTTTCTCCAATTCTAGACCAAAAAGTCAACCCAAAAATGCAGGAAGAGGGGAGAAAAAAATTAAGGGAAAAATTGTCTATTTATAACTCGCACTACATTCGTCCATCATGAAATAAGGGGAAATAATTACTAGTCTTAGTCCTATATACCTCACATGTTTCTGCAGTTTAAACAAATCTGTTGTTATCTAATAAACAAACATATATGCAATTCCCTGACCAAAGAATATGAAAATCTATGCATTTTCAGATGAGCTGTGCGGCATTCTGCAAACACTATAATGCATCAGAAAACTGCGGAATTTCAGACAGAAATTTAAAAGCACATGAATTTTGAATTAAACAGAACATTTTTATTTTTGAACATAAATGCATTCTGTAAAAAGATGAGATAAATTCAATATAAATCAAACACGAAAATACTTTAAAACAGTAATCATGATGCAATATTAGACTTTTTAACACTTTCATCGAAAACCACACAGTTTTTCTCTGTTAACGTAGTTTCAAGTGCCAAATTGTGGTCAAATCTAAAATGTTGAAACATGCAGTGCCTATCAATTTTAAAATATCTCCTATATAGCTGTATTTCCATAGGATAAGTAAGTTGAAATAATCTGATTATGTAACACTACAACAGCTTTTTCATCCCTACCCCCCAGTTTGGAATCTGATAATTTAAAAGCACATGAATTTTGAATTCCACAGAACATTTTTATTTTTGAACATAAATGCATTCTTCAAAAAGATGAGATGAATTCAATATAAATCAAACACGAAAATACTTTAAAACAGTAATCATGATGCAATATTAGACTTTTAACACTTTCATCGAAAACCACACAGTTTTTCTCTGTTAACATAGTTTCAAGTGCCAAATTGTGGTCAAATCTAAAATGTTGAAACATGCAGTGCCTATGAATTTCAAAATATCTCCTATATAGCTGTATTTCCACAGGATAAGTAAGTTGAAATAATCTGATTATGTAACACTACAACAGTTTTTTCATCCCCACCCCCCGGTATGGAATCTGATACATTGCTGACCAATCATAGGTCGCCCCGTTCACTCAGGCCTGTCAAATGATTTACAATGGCGATGGTGCCTACACCTGTCCTGACCAAGAGATATGCACAACCGTCGATCAACACACAAGCCATTAATGTTATCTTCCAATATGAGAGGCCATGATAAACACACAAGCGTCCTTTTCAAGCTCGGAAATTAAGTCATCACCAAAAAGCAAAGTTTACAGAGGTCCTCGGGGCTGGAACCCAAACTGATTACGATTTGCCCTCCACTTCCACCACAGGTGTCATAGAGATCAGGGATGAAATTGATATGCATCATCGTTCTCCTAAAGCCAGTCCAGGAAGAGATCAGGTTTTGAGATGTAGACCTGAAATGTTAAATTTGGATGAGAATGAGAATTCTGGGGCGAATACTATCCAGGGAAATGGTCATTGACATCCAGAAAATGGTCAAAATGTGGAATTCTGTCATTCAGTTAAATGTCAAGGGGAGAAGACAGGCCTGTGCAGTACCAAATTTCCAGCCCATTACTATTAGTGAGCAGAAGTGGGGATGAGGTTGGATGTACTTCTTAAAGTGTATGAAATGCACATTTATCTCACCTGTTTTGCTTCTTTTTTTTTAATACTTGTGTTGAGGTCAATCATTCCACTCTATGAAACATTGTCCTGGCACCTGAAATGATAGGAGGCTGGGGATAAATATGCAATAAAAAACAGTGAGAAAATAAGAAAAAAATATGGTTTCAACTGGAAATAGAAATAAACCTCTTTATTTCTCGCGAACAGCCCGTCACTGGCCCTCCAAAAAGAAACCAGTTAACAATCAGTAAAAAAGTAAACCTTGAGTGTCACATAAGTCTAAGCCAATCTCAAAGGTAGATGCCATGTTTTGAGGTTCGGTCTAAATATTAAGGCCAACTGCATGTTTGGTCAAAAGTCACACAGGTGTGAATTTTGGAGTGTACATGTTAACATTTCATTGTATGATGTCAAAAACATGTTAGGTCTAAATGTTAAGGCCAACTGCAGACTTGGTTCAAGGTCACAACATGTAAAGAGGGTTAGGGCACATGATTTTTTTACACAATTGTGGGTTTGGGCTAGGGTCAGAACTAGGTCTTGGCTTAGGCCTAGGCTACATGCTTTTTGACAAGATTGTGGGTTAGGGTTAGGGTAAGGACTGGGTCTTGGGTTAGGGTTAGGGTCAGCCTTGTTTACATCTCGTGACTTTAGACCAAATCTGGAGTTGAGTTGGCCTTAATATTTAGACCTAACCATGTTTTGATATCCTTGTGAACAAAATGTTACACATTTACAACCCAAAATTCACACCCAACCAACGGATACCCCCAATCATGGCTATTTTGATACCAAATAGTCAAAAAACTTACTGCTGGGCAATAAAAAAGCAGTATTCTTACTATTTCTGACACTTTCCATTCAAAACTTCAGGAAATAAGCCCTTGAAAAAATATCAACATCCCGAGTCGGCCATGCTTCTTTATATCATCAGGACTCAGACTAGCAATTATTTGCCCATTGACTTCAATGTTAAATGACTGTAACATCACAGGCTGTAGCTTTTTGCTCAACATTCCGTTGGTTCCAATCTTTATAGGCACAATGGGGACAACATTTGGCAATCTCCTCATCATAATTTTGTAGGGGGTTGACCGTTTAGATTTTTTGCTACACGGATTTGAAGTTGACAGGGGTGAAAATCTCACTTCCGACACAATGATTGCTCTGCAGAAAGACACTTTACACCCCCTATCCCTCCGCTGTAATATCATCAGTATTACCCAAAACTGCTATGAAATTGCAAATTTGATCCCTTTTCTCCAATTCTAGACCAAAAAGTCAACCCAAAAATGCAGGAAGAGGGGAGAAAAAAATTAAGGGAAAAATTGTCTATTTATAACTCGCACTACATTCGTCCATCATGAAATAAGGGGAAATAATTACTAGTCTTAGTCCTATATACCTCACATGTTTCTGCAGTTTAAACAAATCTGTTGTTATCTAATAAACAAACATATATGCAATTCCCTGACCAAAGAATATGAAAATCTATGCATTTTCAGATGAGCTGTGCGGCATTCTGCAAACACTATAATGCATCAGAAAACTGCGGAATTTCAGACAGAAATTTAAAAGCACATGAATTTTGAATTAAACAGAACATTTTTATTTTTGAACATAAATGCATTCTGTAAAAAGATGAGATAAATTCAATATAAATCAAACACGAAAATACTTTAAAACAGTAATCATGATGCAATATTAGACTTTTTAACACTTTCATCGAAAACCACACAGTTTTTCTCTGTTAACGTAGTTTCAAGTGCCAAATTGTGGTCAAATCTAAAATGTTGAAACATGCAGTGCCTATCAATTTTAAAATATCTCCTATATAGCTGTATTTCCATAGGATAAGTAAGTTGAAATAATCTGATTATGTAACACTACAACAGCTTTTTCATCCCTACCCCCCAGTTTGGAATCTGATAATTTAAAAGCACATGAATTTTGAATTCCACAGAACATTTTTATTTTTGAACATAAATGCATTCTTCAAAAAGATGAGATGAATTCAATATAAATCAAACACGAAAATACTTTAAAACAGTAATCATGATGCAATATTAGACTTTTAACACTTTCATCGAAAACCACACAGTTTTTCTCTGTTAACATAGTTTCAAGTGCCAAATTGTGGTCAAATCTAAAATGTTGAAACATGCAGTGCCTATGAATTTCAAAATATCTCCTATATAGCTGTATTTCCACAGGATAAGTAAGTTGAAATAATCTGATTATGTAACACTACAACAGTTTTTTCATCCCCACCCCCCGGTATGGAATCTGATACATTGCTGACCAATCATAGGTCGCCCCGTTCACTCAGGCCTGTCAAATGATTTACAATGGCGATGGTGCCTACACCTGTCCTGACCAAGAGATATGCACAACCGTCGATCAACACACAAGCCATTAATGTTATCTTCCAATATGAGAGGCCATGATAAACACACAAGCGTCCTTTTCAAGCTCGGAAATTAAGTCATCACCAAAAAGCAAAGTTTACAGAGGTCCTCGGGGCTGGAACCCAAACTGATTACGATTTGCCCTCCACTTCCACCACAGGTGTCATAGAGATCAGGGATGAAATTGATATGCATCATCGTTCTCCTAAAGCCAGTCCAGGAAGAGATCAGGTTTTGAGATGTAGACCTGAAATGTTAAATTTGGATGAGAATGAGAATTCTGGGGCGAATACTATCCAGGGAAATGGTCATTGACATCCAGAAAATGGTCAAAATGTGGAATTCTGTCATTCAGTTAAATGTCAAGGGGAGAAGACAGGCCTGTGCAGTACCAAATTTCCAGCCCATTACTATTAGTGAGCAGAAGTGGGGATGAGGTTGGATGTACTTCTTAAAGTGTATGAAATGCACATTTATCTCACCTGTTTTGCTTCTTTTTTTTTAATACTTGTGTTGAGGTCAATCATTCCACTCTATGAAACATTGTCCTGGCACCTGAAATGATAGGAGGCTGGGGATAAATATGCAATAAAAAACAGTGAGAAAATAAGAAAAAAATATGGTTTCAACTGGAAATAGAAATAAACCTCTTTATTTCTCGCGAACAGCCCGTCACTGGCCCTCCAAAAAGAAACCAGTTAACAATCAGTAAAAAAGTAAACCTTGAGTGTCACATAAGTCTAAGCCAATCTCAAAGGTAGATGCCATGTTTTGAGGTTCGGTCTAAATATTAAGGCCAACTGCATGTTTGGTCAAAAGTCACACAGGTGTGAATTTTGGAGTGTACATGTTAACATTTCATTGTATGATGTCAAAAACATGTTAGGTCTAAATGTTAAGGCCAACTGCAGACTTGGTTCAAGGTCACAACATGTAAAGAGGGTTAGGGCACATGATTTTTTTACACAATTGTGGGTTTGGGCTAGGGTCAGAACTAGGTCTTGGCTTAGGCCTAGGCTACATGCTTTTTGACAAGATTGTGGGTTAGGGTTAGGGTAAGGACTGGGTCTTGGGTTAGGGTTAGGGTCAGCCTTGTTTACATCTCGTGACTTTAGACCAAATCTGGAGTTGAGTTGGCCTTAATATTTAGACCTAACCATGTTTTGATATCCTTGTGAACAAAATGTTACACATTTACAACCCAAAATTCACACCCAACCAACGGATACCCCCAATCATGGCTATTTTGATACCAAATAGTCAAAAAACTTACTGCTGGGCAATAAAAAAGCAGTATTCTTACTATTTCTGACACTTTCCATTCAAAACTTCAGGAAATAAGCCCTTGAAAAAATATCAACATCCCGAGTCGGCCATGCTTCTTTATATCATCAGGACTCAGACTAGCAATTATTTGCCCATTGACTTCAATGTTAAATGACTGTAACATCACAGGCTGTAGCTTTTTGCTCAACATTCCGTTGGTTCCAATCTTTATAGGCACAATGGGGACAACATTTGGCAATCTCCTCATCATAATTTTGTAGGGGGTTGACCGTTTAGATTTTTTGCTACACGGATTTGAAGTTGACAGGGGTGAAAATCTCACTTCCGACACAATGATTGCTCTGCAGAAAGACACTTTACACCCCCTATCCCTCCGCTGTAATATCATCAGTATTACCCAAAACTGCTATGAAATTGCAAATTTGATCCCTTTTCTCCAATTCTAGACCAAAAAGTCAACCCAAAAATGCAGGAAGAGGGGAGAAAAAAATTAAGGGAAAAATTGTCTATTTATAACTCGCACTACATTCGTCCATCATGAAATAAGGGGAAATAATTACTAGTCTTAGTCCTATATACCTCACATGTTTCTGCAGTTTAAACAAATCTGTTGTTATCTAATAAACAAACATATATGCAATTCCCTGACCAAAGAATATGAAAATCTATGCATTTTCAGATGAGCTGTGCGGCATTCTGCAAACACTATAATGCATCAGAAAACTGCGGAATTTCAGACAGAAATTTAAAAGCACATGAATTTTGAATTAAACAGAACATTTTTATTTTTGAACATAAATGCATTCTGTAAAAAGATGAGATAAATTCAATATAAATCAAACACGAAAATACTTTAAAACAGTAATCATGATGCAATATTAGACTTTTTAACACTTTCATCGAAAACCACACAGTTTTTCTCTGTTAACGTAGTTTCAAGTGCCAAATTGTGGTCAAATCTAAAATGTTGAAACATGCAGTGCCTATCAATTTTAAAATATCTCCTATATAGCTGTATTTCCATAGGATAAGTAAGTTGAAATAATCTGATTATGTAACACTACAACAGCTTTTTCATCCCTACCCCCCAGTTTGGAATCTGATAATTTAAAAGCACATGAATTTTGAATTCCACAGAACATTTTTATTTTTGAACATAAATGCATTCTTCAAAAAGATGAGATGAATTCAATATAAATCAAACACGAAAATACTTTAAAACAGTAATCATGATGCAATATTAGACTTTTAACACTTTCATCGAAAACCACACAGTTTTTCTCTGTTAACATAGTTTCAAGTGCCAAATTGTGGTCAAATCTAAAATGTTGAAACATGCAGTGCCTATGAATTTCAAAATATCTCCTATATAGCTGTATTTCCACAGGATAAGTAAGTTGAAATAATCTGATTATGTAACACTACAACAGTTTTTTCATCCCCACCCCCCGGTATGGAATCTGATACATTGCTGACCAATCATAGGTCGCCCCGTTCACTCAGGCCTGTCAAATGATTTACAATGGCGATGGTGCCTACACCTGTCCTGACCAAGAGATATGCACAACCGTCGATCAACACACAAGCCATTAATGTTATCTTCCAATATGAGAGGCCATGATAAACACACAAGCGTCCTTTTCAAGCTCGGAAATTAAGTCATCACCAAAAAGCAAAGTTTACAGAGGTCCTCGGGGCTGGAACCCAAACTGATTACGATTTGCCCTCCACTTCCACCACAGGTGTCATAGAGATCAGGGATGAAATTGATATGCATCATCGTTCTCCTAAAGCCAGTCCAGGAAGAGATCAGGTTTTGAGATGTAGACCTGAAATGTTAAATTTGGATGAGAATGAGAATTCTGGGGCGAATACTATCCAGGGAAATGGTCATTGACATCCAGAAAATGGTCAAAATGTGGAATTCTGTCATTCAGTTAAATGTCAAGGGGAGAAGACAGGCCTGTGCAGTACCAAATTTCCAGCCCATTACTATTAGTGAGCAGAAGTGGGGATGAGGTTGGATGTACTTCTTAAAGTGTATGAAATGCACATTTATCTCACCTGTTTTGCTTCTTTTTTTTTAATACTTGTGTTGAGGTCAATCATTCCACTCTATGAAACATTGTCCTGGCACCTGAAATGATAGGAGGCTGGGGATAAATATGCAATAAAAAACAGTGAGAAAATAAGAAAAAAATATGGTTTCAACTGGAAATAGAAATAAACCTCTTTATTTCTCGCGAACAGCCCGTCACTGGCCCTCCAAAAAGAAACCAGTTAACAATCAGTAAAAAAGTAAACCTTGAGTGTCACATAAGTCTAAGCCAATCTCAAAGGTAGATGCCATGTTTTGAGGTTCGGTCTAAATATTAAGGCCAACTGCATGTTTGGTCAAAAGTCACACAGGTGTGAATTTTGGAGTGTACATGTTAACATTTCATTGTATGATGTCAAAAACATGTTAGGTCTAAATGTTAAGGCCAACTGCAGACTTGGTTCAAGGTCACAACATGTAAAGAGGGTTAGGGCACATGATTTTTTTACACAATTGTGGGTTTGGGCTAGGGTCAGAACTAGGTCTTGGCTTAGGCCTAGGCTACATGCTTTTTGACAAGATTGTGGGTTAGGGTTAGGGTAAGGACTGGGTCTTGGGTTAGGGTTAGGGTCAGCCTTGTTTACATCTCGTGACTTTAGACCAAATCTGGAGTTGAGTTGGCCTTAATATTTAGACCTAACCATGTTTTGATATCCTTGTGAACAAAATGTTACACATTTACAACCCAAAATTCACACCCAACCAACGGATACCCCCAATCATGGCTATTTTGATACCAAATAGTCAAAAAACTTACTGCTGGGCAATAAAAAAGCAGTATTCTTACTATTTCTGACACTTTCCATTCAAAACTTCAGGAAATAAGCCCTTGAAAAAATATCAACATCCCGAGTCGGCCATGCTTCTTTATATCATCAGGACTCAGACTAGCAATTATTTGCCCATTGACTTCAATGTTAAATGACTGTAACATCACAGGCTGTAGCTTTTTGCTCAACATTCCGTTGGTTCCAATCTTTATAGGCACAATGGGGACAACATTTGGCAATCTCCTCATCATAATTTTGTAGGGGGTTGACCGTTTAGATTTTTTGCTACACGGATTTGAAGTTGACAGGGGTGAAAATCTCACTTCCGACACAATGATTGCTCTGCAGAAAGACACTTTACACCCCCTATCCCTCCGCTGTAATATCATCAGTATTACCCAAAACTGCTATGAAATTGCAAATTTGATCCCTTTTCTCCAATTCTAGACCAAAAAGTCAACCCAAAAATGCAGGAAGAGGGGAGAAAAAAATTAAGGGAAAAATTGTCTATTTATAACTCGCACTACATTCGTCCATCATGAAATAAGGGGAAATAATTACTAGTCTTAGTCCTATATACCTCACATGTTTCTGCAGTTTAAACAAATCTGTTGTTATCTAATAAACAAACATATATGCAATTCCCTGACCAAAGAATATGAAAATCTATGCATTTTCAGATGAGCTGTGCGGCATTCTGCAAACACTATAATGCATCAGAAAACTGCGGAATTTCAGACAGAAATTTAAAAGCACATGAATTTTGAATTAAACAGAACATTTTTATTTTTGAACATAAATGCATTCTGTAAAAAGATGAGATAAATTCAATATAAATCAAACACGAAAATACTTTAAAACAGTAATCATGATGCAATATTAGACTTTTTAACACTTTCATCGAAAACCACACAGTTTTTCTCTGTTAACGTAGTTTCAAGTGCCAAATTGTGGTCAAATCTAAAATGTTGAAACATGCAGTGCCTATCAATTTTAAAATATCTCCTATATAGCTGTATTTCCATAGGATAAGTAAGTTGAAATAATCTGATTATGTAACACTACAACAGCTTTTTCATCCCTACCCCCCAGTTTGGAATCTGATAATTTAAAAGCACATGAATTTTGAATTCCACAGAACATTTTTATTTTTGAACATAAATGCATTCTTCAAAAAGATGAGATGAATTCAATATAAATCAAACACGAAAATACTTTAAAACAGTAATCATGATGCAATATTAGACTTTTAACACTTTCATCGAAAACCACACAGTTTTTCTCTGTTAACATAGTTTCAAGTGCCAAATTGTGGTCAAATCTAAAATGTTGAAACATGCAGTGCCTATGAATTTCAAAATATCTCCTATATAGCTGTATTTCCACAGGATAAGTAAGTTGAAATAATCTGATTATGTAACACTACAACAGTTTTTTCATCCCCACCCCCCGGTATGGAATCTGATACATTGCTGACCAATCATAGGTCGCCCCGTTCACTCAGGCCTGTCAAATGATTTACAATGGCGATGGTGCCTACACCTGTCCTGACCAAGAGATATGCACAACCGTCGATCAACACACAAGCCATTAATGTTATCTTCCAATATGAGAGGCCATGATAAACACACAAGCGTCCTTTTCAAGCTCGGAAATTAAGTCATCACCAAAAAGCAAAGTTTACAGAGGTCCTCGGGGCTGGAACCCAAACTGATTACGATTTGCCCTCCACTTCCACCACAGGTGTCATAGAGATCAGGGATGAAATTGATATGCATCATCGTTCTCCTAAAGCCAGTCCAGGAAGAGATCAGGTTTTGAGATGTAGACCTGAAATGTTAAATTTGGATGAGAATGAGAATTCTGGGGCGAATACTATCCAGGGAAATGGTCATTGACATCCAGAAAATGGTCAAAATGTGGAATTCTGTCATTCAGTTAAATGTCAAGGGGAGAAGACAGGCCTGTGCAGTACCAAATTTCCAGCCCATTACTATTAGTGAGCAGAAGTGGGGATGAGGTTGGATGTACTTCTTAAAGTGTATGAAATGCACATTTATCTCACCTGTTTTGCTTCTTTTTTTTTAATACTTGTGTTGAGGTCAATCATTCCACTCTATGAAACATTGTCCTGGCACCTGAAATGATAGGAGGCTGGGGATAAATATGCAATAAAAAACAGTGAGAAAATAAGAAAAAAATATGGTTTCAACTGGAAATAGAAATAAACCTCTTTATTTCTCGCGAACAGCCCGTCACTGGCCCTCCAAAAAGAAACCAGTTAACAATCAGTAAAAAAGTAAACCTTGAGTGTCACATAAGTCTAAGCCAATCTCAAAGGTAGATGCCATGTTTTGAGGTTCGGTCTAAATATTAAGGCCAACTGCATGTTTGGTCAAAAGTCACACAGGTGTGAATTTTGGAGTGTACATGTTAACATTTCATTGTATGATGTCAAAAACATGTTAGGTCTAAATGTTAAGGCCAACTGCAGACTTGGTTCAAGGTCACAACATGTAAAGAGGGTTAGGGCACATGATTTTTTTACACAATTGTGGGTTTGGGCTAGGGTCAGAACTAGGTCTTGGCTTAGGCCTAGGCTACATGCTTTTTGACAAGATTGTGGGTTAGGGTTAGGGTAAGGACTGGGTCTTGGGTTAGGGTTAGGGTCAGCCTTGTTTACATCTCGTGACTTTAGACCAAATCTGGAGTTGAGTTGGCCTTAATATTTAGACCTAACCATGTTTTGATATCCTTGTGAACAAAATGTTACACATTTACAACCCAAAATTCACACTCAACCAACGGATACCCCCAATCATGGCTATTTTGATACCAAATAGTCAAAAAACTTACTGCTGGGCAATAAAAAAGCAGTATTCTTACTATTTCTGACACTTTCCATTCAAAACTTCAGGAAATAAGCCCTTGAAAAAATATCAACATCCCGAGTCGGCCATGCTTCTTTATATCATATACCTCACATGTTTCTGCAGTTTAAACAAATCTGTTGTTATCTAATAAACAAACATATATGCAATTCCCTGACCAAGGAATATGAAAATCTATGCATTTTCAGATGAGCTGTGCGGCATTCTGCAAACACTATAATGCATCAGAAAACTGCGGAATTTCAGACAGAAATTTAAAAGCACATGAATTTTGAATTAAACAGAACATTTTTATTTTTGAACATAAATGCATTCTGTAAAAAGATGAGATAAATTCAATATAAATCAAACACGAAAATACTTTAAAACAGTAATCATGATGCAATATTAGACTTTTTAACACTTTCATCGAAAACCACACAGTTTTTCTCTGTTAACGTAGTTTCAAGTGCCAAATTGTGGTCAAATCTAAAATGTTGAAACATGCAGTGCCTATCAATTTTAAAATATCTCCTATATAGCTGTATTTCCATAGGATAAGTAAGTTGAAATAATCTGATTATGTAACACTACAACAGCTTTTTCATCCCTACCCCCCAGTTTGGAATCTGATAATTTAAAAGCACATGAATTTTGAATTCCACAGAACATTTTTATTTTTGAACATAAATGCATTCTTCAAAAAGATGAGATGAATTCAATATAAATCAAACACGAAAATACTTTAAAACAGTAATCATGATGCAATATTAGACTTTTAACACTTTCATCGAAAACCACACAGTTTTTCTCTGTTAACATAGTTTCAAGTGCCAAATTGTGGTCAAATCTAAAATGTTGAAACATGCAGTGCCTATGAATTTCAAAATATCTCCTATATAGCTGTATTTCCACAGGATAAGTAAGTTGAAATAATCTGATTATGTAACACTACAACAGTTTTTTCATCCCCACCCCCCGGTATGGAATCTGATACATTGCTGACCAATCATAGGTCGCCCCGTTCACTCAGGCCTGTCAAATGATTTACAATGGCGATGGTGCCTACACCTGTCCTGACCAAGAGATATGCACAACCGTCGATCAACACACAAGCCATTAATGTTATCTTCCAATATGAGAGGCCATGATAAACACACAAGCGTCCTTTTCAAGCTCGGAAATTAAGTCATCACCAAAAAGCAAAGTTTACAGAGGTCCTCGGGGCTGGAACCCAAACTGATTACGATTTGCCCTCCACTTCCACCACAGGTGTCATAGAGATCAGGGATGAAATTGATATGCATCATCGTTCTCCTAAAGCCAGTCCAGGAAGAGATCAGGTTTTGAGATGTAGACCTGAAATGTTAAATTTGGATGAGAATGAGAATTCTGGGGCGAATACTATCCAGGGAAATGGTCATTGACATCCAGAAAATGGTCAAAATGTGGAATTCTGTCATTCAGTTAAATGTCAAGGGGAGAAGACAGGCCTGTGCAGTACCAAATTTCCAGCCCATTACTATTAGTGAGCAGAAGTGGGGATGAGGTTGGATGTACTTCTTAAAGTGTATGAAATGCACATTTATCTCACCTGTTTTGCTTCTTTTTTTTTAATACTTGTGTTGAGGTCAATCATTCCACTCTATGAAACATTGTCCTGGCACCTGAAATGATAGGAGGCTGGGGATAAATATGCAATAAAAAACAGTGAGAAAATAAGAAAAAAATATGGTTTCAACTGGAAATAGAAATAAACCTCTTTATTTCTCGCGAACAGCCCGTCACTGGCCCTCCAAAAAGAAACCAGTTAACAATCAGTAAAAAAGTAAACCTTGAGTGTCACATAAGTCTAAGCCAATCTCAAAGGTAGATGCCATGTTTTGAGGTTCGGTCTAAATATTAAGGCCAACTGCATGTTTGGTCAAAAGTCACACAGGTGTGAATTTTGGAGTGTACATGTTAACATTTCATTGTATGATGTCAAAAACATGTTAGGTCTAAATGTTAAGGCCAACTGCAGACTTGGTTCAAGGTCACAACATGTAAAGAGGGTTAGGGCACATGATTTTTTTACACAATTGTGGGTTTGGGCTAGGGTCAGAACTAGGTCTTGGCTTAGGCCTAGGCTACATGCTTTTTGACAAGATTGTGGGTTAGGGTTAGGGTAAGGACTGGGTCTTGGGTTAGGGTTAGGGTCAGCCTTGTTTACATCTCGTGACTTTAGACCAAATCTGGAGTTGAGTTGGCCTTAATATTTAGACCTAACCATGTTTTGATATCCTTGTGAACAAAATGTTACACATTTACAACCCAAAATTCACACCCAACCAACGGATACCCCCAATCATGGCTATTTTGATACCAAATAGTCAAAAAACTTACTGCTGGGCAATAAAAAAGCAGTATTCTTACTATTTCTGACACTTTCCATTCAAAACTTCAGGAAATAAGCCCTTGAAAAAATATCAACATCCCGAGTCGGCCATGCTTCTTTATATCATCAGGACTCAGACTAGCAATTATTTGCCCATTGACTTCAATGTTAAATGACTGTAACATCACAGGCTGTAGCTTTTTGCTCAACATTCCGTTGGTTCCAATCTTTATAGGCACAATGGGGACAACATTTGGCAATCTCCTCATCATAATTTTGTAGGGGGTTGACCGTTTAGATTTTTTGCTACACGGATTTGAAGTTGACAGGGGTGAAAATCTCACTTCCGACACAATGATTGCTCTGCAGAAAGACACTTTACACCCCCTATCCCTCCGCTGTAATATCATCAGTATTACCCAAAACTGCTATGAAATTGCAAATTTGATCCCTTTTCTCCAATTCTAGACCAAAAAGTCAACCCAAAAATGCAGGAAGAGGGGAGAAAAAAATTAAGGGAAAAATTGTCTATTTATAACTCGCACTACATTCGTCCATCATGAAATAAGGGGAAATAATTACTAGTCTTAGTCCTATATACCTCACATGTTTCTGCAGTTTAAACAAATCTGTTGTTATCTAATAAACAAACATATATGCAATTCCCTGACCAAAGAATATGAAAATCTATGCATTTTCAGATGAGCTGTGCGGCATTCTGCAAACACTATAATGCATCAGAAAACTGCGGAATTTCAGACAGAAATTTAAAAGCACATGAATTTTGAATTAAACAGAACATTTTTATTTTTGAACATAAATGCATTCTGTAAAAAGATGAGATAAATTCAATATAAATCAAACACGAAAATACTTTAAAACAGTAATCATGATGCAATATTAGACTTTTTAACACTTTCATCGAAAACCACACAGTTTTTCTCTGTTAACGTAGTTTCAAGTGCCAAATTGTGGTCAAATCTAAAATGTTGAAACATGCAGTGCCTATCAATTTTAAAATATCTCCTATATAGCTGTATTTCCATAGGATAAGTAAGTTGAAATAATCTGATTATGTAACACTACAACAGCTTTTTCATCCCTACCCCCCAGTTTGGAATCTGATAATTTAAAAGCACATGAATTTTGAATTCCACAGAACATTTTTATTTTTGAACATAAATGCATTCTTCAAAAAGATGAGATGAATTCAATATAAATCAAACACGAAAATACTTTAAAACAGTAATCATGATGCAATATTAGACTTTTAACACTTTCATCGAAAACCACACAGTTTTTCTCTGTTAACATAGTTTCAAGTGCCAAATTGTGGTCAAATCTAAAATGTTGAAACATGCAGTGCCTATGAATTTCAAAATATCTCCTATATAGCTGTATTTCCACAGGATAAGTAAGTTGAAATAATCTGATTATGTAACACTACAACAGTTTTTTCATCCCCACCCCCCGGTATGGAATCTGATACATTGCTGACCAATCATAGGTCGCCCCGTTCACTCAGGCCTGTCAAATGATTTACAATGGCGATGGTGCCTACACCTGTCCTGACCAAGAGATATGCACAACCGTCGATCAACACACAAGCCATTAATGTTATCTTCCAATATGAGAGGCCATGATAAACACACAAGCGTCCTTTTCAAGCTCGGAAATTAAGTCATCACCAAAAAGCAAAGTTTACAGAGGTCCTCGGGGCTGGAACCCAAACTGATTACGATTTGCCCTCCACTTCCACCACAGGTGTCATAGAGATCAGGGATGAAATTGATATGCATCATCGTTCTCCTAAAGCCAGTCCAGGAAGAGATCAGGTTTTGAGATGTAGACCTGAAATGTTAAATTTGGATGAGAATGAGAATTCTGGGGCGAATACTATCCAGGGAAATGGTCATTGACATCCAGAAAATGGTCAAAATGTGGAATTCTGTCATTCAGTTAAATGTCAAGGGGAGAAGACAGGCCTGTGCAGTACCAAATTTCCAGCCCATTACTATTAGTGAGCAGAAGTGGGGATGAGGTTGGATGTACTTCTTAAAGTGTATGAAATGCACATTTATCTCACCTGTTTTGCTTCTTTTTTTTTAATACTTGTGTTGAGGTCAATCATTCCACTCTATGAAACATTGTCCTGGCACCTGAAATGATAGGAGGCTGGGGATAAATATGCAATAAAAAACAGTGAGAAAATAAGAAAAAAATATGGTTTCAACTGGAAATAGAAATAAACCTCTTTATTTCTCGCGAACAGCCCGTCACTGGCCCTCCAAAAAGAAACCAGTTAACAATCAGTAAAAAAGTAAACCTTGAGTGTCACATAAGTCTAAGCCAATCTCAAAGGTAGATGCCATGTTTTGAGGTTCGGTCTAAATATTAAGGCCAACTGCATGTTTGGTCAAAAGTCACACAGGTGTGAATTTTGGAGTGTACATGTTAACATTTCATTGTATGATGTCAAAAACATGTTAGGTCTAAATGTTAAGGCCAACTGCAGACTTGGTTCAAGGTCACAACATGTAAAGAGGGTTAGGGCACATGATTTTTTTACACAATTGTGGGTTTGGGCTAGGGTCAGAACTAGGTCTTGGCTTAGGCCTAGGCTACATGCTTTTTGACAAGATTGTGGGTTAGGGTTAGGGTAAGGACTGGGTCTTGGGTTAGGGTTAGGGTCAGCCTTGTTTACATCTCGTGACTTTAGACCAAATCTGGAGTTGAGTTGGCCTTAATATTTAGACCTAACCATGTTTTGATATCCTTGTGAACAAAATGTTACACATTTACAACCCAAAATTCACACCCAACCAACGGATACCCCCAATCATGGCTATTTTGATACCAAATAGTCAAAAAACTTACTGCTGGGCAATAAAAAAGCAGTATTCTTACTATTTCTGACACTTTCCATTCAAAACTTCAGGAAATAAGCCCTTGAAAAAATATCAACATCCCGAGTCGGCCATGCTTCTTTATATCATCAGGACTCAGACTAGCAATTATTTGCCCATTGACTTCAATGTTAAATGACTGTAACATCACAGGCTGTAGCTTTTTGCTCAACATTCCGTTGGTTCCAATCTTTATAGGCACAATGGGGACAACATTTGGCAATCTCCTCATCATAATTTTGTAGGGGGTTGACCGTTTAGATTTTTTGCTACACGGATTTGAAGTTGACAGGGGTGAAAATCTCACTTCCGACACAATGATTGCTCTGCAGAAAGACACTTTACACCCCCTATCCCTCCGCTGTAATATCATCAGTATTACCCAAAACTGCTATGAAATTGCAAATTTGATCCCTTTTCTCCAATTCTAGACCAAAAAGTCAACCCAAAAATGCAGGAAGAGGGGAGAAAAAAATTAAGGGAAAAATTGTCTATTTATAACTCGCACTACATTCGTCCATCATGAAATAAGGGGAAATAATTACTAGTCTTAGTCCTATATACCTCACATGTTTCTGCAGTTTAAACAAATCTGTTGTTATCTAATAAACAAACATATATGCAATTCCCTGACCAAAGAATATGAAAATCTATGCATTTTCAGATGAGCTGTGCGGCTTTCTGCAAACACTATAATGCATCAGAAAACTGCGGAATTTCAGACAGAAATTTAAAAGCACATGAATTTTGAATTAAACAGAACATTTTTATTTTTGAACATAAATGCATTCTGTAAAAAGATGAGATAAATTCAATATAAATCAAACACGAAAATACTTTAAAACAGTAATCATGATGCAATATTAGACTTTTTAACACTTTCATCGAAAACCACACAGTTTTTCTCTGTTAACGTAGTTTCAAGTGCCAAATTGTGGTCAAATCTAAAATGTTGAAACATGCAGTGCCTATCAATTTTAAAATATCTCCTATATAGCTGTATTTCCATAGGATAAGTAAGTTGAAATAATCTGATTATGTAACACTACAACAGCTTTTTCATCCCTACCCCCCAGTTTGGAATCTGATAATTTAAAAGCACATGAATTTTGAATTCCACAGAACATTTTTATTTTTGAACATAAATGCATTCTTCAAAAAGATGAGATGAATTCAATATAAATCAAACACGAAAATACTTTAAAACAGTAATCATGATGCAATATTAGACTTTTAACACTTTCATCGAAAACCACACAGTTTTTCTCTGTTAACATAGTTTCAAGTGCCAAATTGTGGTCAAATCTAAAATGTTGAAACATGCAGTGCCTATGAATTTCAAAATATCTCCTATATAGCTGTATTTCCACAGGATAAGTAAGTTGAAATAATCTGATTATGTAACACTACAACAGTTTTTTCATCCCCACCCCCCGGTATGGAATCTGATACATTGCTGACCAATCATAGGTCGCCCCGTTCACTCAGGCCTGTCAAATGATTTACAATGGCGATGGTGCCTACACCTGTCCTGACCAAGAGATATGCACAACCGTCGATCAACACACAAGCCATTAATGTTATCTTCCAATATGAGAGGCCATGATAAACACACAAGCGTCCTTTTCAAGCTCGGAAATTAAGTCATCACCAAAAAGCAAAGTTTACAGAGGTCCTCGGGGCTGGAACCCAAACTGATTACGATTTGCCCTCCACTTCCACCACAGGTGTCATAGAGATCAGGGATGAAATTGATATGCATCATCGTTCTCCTAAAGCCAGTCCAGGAAGAGATCAGGTTTTGAGATGTAGACCTGAAATGTTAAATTTGGATGAGAATGAGAATTCTGGGGCGAATACTATCCAGGGAAATGGTCATTGACATCCAGAAAATGGTCAAAATGTGGAATTCTGTCATTCAGTTAAATGTCAAGGGGAGAAGACAGGCCTGTGCAGTACCAAATTTCCAGCCCATTACTATTAGTGAGCAGAAGTGGGGATGAGGTTGGATGTACTTCTTAAAGTGTATGAAATGCACATTTATCTCACCTGTTTTGCTTCTTTTTTTTTAATACTTGTGTTGAGGTCAATCATTCCACTCTATGAAACATTGTCCTGGCACCTGAAATGATAGGAGGCTGGGGATAAATATGCAATAAAAAACAGTGAGAAAATAAGAAAAAAATATGGTTTCAACTGGAAATAGAAATAAACCTCTTTATTTCTCGCGAACAGCCCGTCACTGGCCCTCCAAAAAGAAACCAGTTAACAATCAGTAAAAAAGTAAACCTTGAGTGTCACATAAGTCTAAGCCAATCTCAAAGGTAGATGCCATGTTTTGAGGTTCGGTCTAAATATTAAGGCCAACTGCATGTTTGGTCAAAAGTCACACAGGTGTGAATTTTGGAGTGTACATGTTAACATTTCATTGTATGATGTCAAAAACATGTTAGGTCTAAATGTTAAGGCCAACTGCAGACTTGGTTCAAGGTCACAACATGTAAAGAGGGTTAGGGCACATGATTTTTTTACACAATTGTGGGTTTGGGCTAGGGTCAGAACTAGGTCTTGGCTTAGGCCTAGGCTACATGCTTTTTGACAAGATTGTGGGTTAGGGTTAGGGTAAGGACTGGGTCTTGGGTTAGGGTTAGGGTCAGCCTTGTTTACATCTCGTGACTTTAGACCAAATCTGGAGTTGAGTTGGCCTTAATATTTAGACCTAACCATGTTTTGATATCCTTGTGAACAAAATGTTACACATTTACAACCCAAAATTCACACTCAACCAACGGATACCCCCAATCATGGCTATTTTGATACCAAATAGTCAAAAAACTTACTGCTGGGCAATAAAAAAGCAGTATTCTTACTATTTCTGACACTTTCCATTCAAAACTTCAGGAAATAAGCCCTTGAAAAAATATCAACATCCCGAGTCGGCCATGCTTCTTTATATCATATACCTCACATGTTTCTGCAGTTTAAACAAATCTGTTGTTATCTAATAAACAAACATATATGCAATTCCCTGACCAAGGAATATGAAAATCTATGCATTTTCAGATGAGCTGTGCGGCATTCTGCAAACACTATAATGCATCAGAAAACTGCGGAATTTCAGACAGAAATTTAAAAGCACATGAATTTTGAATTAAACAGAACATTTTTATTTTTGAACATAAATGCATTCTGTAAAAAGATGAGATAAATTCAATATAAATCAAACACGAAAATACTTTAAAACAGTAATCATGATGCAATATTAGACTTTTTAACACTTTCATCGAAAACCACACAGTTTTTCTCTGTTAACGTAGTTTCAAGTGCCAAATTGTGGTCAAATCTAAAATGTTGAAACATGCAGTGCCTATCAATTTTAAAATATCTCCTATATAGCTGTATTTCCATAGGATAAGTAAGTTGAAATAATCTGATTATGTAACACTACAACAGCTTTTTCATCCCTACCCCCCAGTTTGGAATCTGATAATTTAAAAGCACATGAATTTTGAATTCCACAGAACATTTTTATTTTTGAACATAAATGCATTCTTCAAAAAGATGAGATGAATTCAATATAAATCAAACACGAAAATACTTTAAAACAGTAATCATGATGCAATATTAGACTTTTAACACTTTCATCGAAAACCACACAGTTTTTCTCTGTTAACATAGTTTCAAGTGCCAAATTGTGGTCAAATCTAAAATGTTGAAACATGCAGTGCCTATGAATTTCAAAATATCTCCTATATAGCTGTATTTCCACAGGATAAGTAAGTTGAAATAATCTGATTATGTAACACTACAACAGTTTTTTCATCCCCACCCCCCGGTATGGAATCTGATACATTGCTGACCAATCATAGGTCGCCCCGTTCACTCAGGCCTGTCAAATGATTTACAATGGCGATGGTGCCTACACCTGTCCTGACCAAGAGATATGCACAACCGTCGATCAACACACAAGCCATTAATGTTATCTTCCAATATGAGAGGCCATGATAAACACACAAGCGTCCTTTTCAAGCTCGGAAATTAAGTCATCACCAAAAAGCAAAGTTTACAGAGGTCCTCGGGGCTGGAACCCAAACTGATTACGATTTGCCCTCCACTTCCACCACAGGTGTCATAGAGATCAGGGATGAAATTGATATGCATCATCGTTCTCCTAAAGCCAGTCCAGGAAGAGATCAGGTTTTGAGATGTAGACCTGAAATGTTAAATTTGGATGAGAATGAGAATTCTGGGGCGAATACTATCCAGGGAAATGGTCATTGACATCCAGAAAATGGTCAAAATGTGGAATTCTGTCATTCAGTTAAATGTCAAGGGGAGAAGACAGGCCTGTGCAGTACCAAATTTCCAGCCCATTACTATTAGTGAGCAGAAGTGGGGATGAGGTTGGATGTACTTCTTAAAGTGTATGAAATGCACATTTATCTCACCTGTTTTGCTTCTTTTTTTTTAATACTTGTGTTGAGGTCAATCATTCCACTCTATGAAACATTGTCCTGGCACCTGAAATGATAGGAGGCTGGGGATAAATATGCAATAAAAAACAGTGAGAAAATAAGAAAAAAATATGGTTTCAACTGGAAATAGAAATAAACCTCTTTATTTCTCGCGAACAGCCCGTCACTGGCCCTCCAAAAAGAAACCAGTTAACAATCAGTAAAAAAGTAAACCTTGAGTGTCACATAAGTCTAAGCCAATCTCAAAGGTAGATGCCATGTTTTGAGGTTCGGTCTAAATATTAAGGCCAACTGCATGTTTGGTCAAAAGTCACACAGGTGTGAATTTTGGAGTGTACATGTTAACATTTCATTGTATGATGTCAAAAACATGTTAGGTCTAAATGTTAAGGCCAACTGCAGACTTGGTTCAAGGTCACAACATGTAAAGAGGGTTAGGGCACATGATTTTTTTACACAATTGTGGGTTTGGGCTAGGGTCAGAACTAGGTCTTGGCTTAGGCCTAGGCTACATGCTTTTTGACAAGATTGTGGGTTAGGGTTAGGGTAAGGACTGGGTCTTGGGTTAGGGTTAGGGTCAGCCTTGTTTACATCTCGTGACTTTAGACCAAATCTGGAGTTGAGTTGGCCTTAATATTTAGACCTAACCATGTTTTGATATCCTTGTGAACAAAATGTTACACATTTACAACCCAAAATTCACACTCAACCAACGGATACCCCCAATCATGGCTATTTTGATACCAAATAGTCAAAAAACTTACTGCTGGGCAATAAAAAAGCAGTATTCTTACTATTTCTGACACTTTCCATTCAAAACTTCAGGAAATAAGCCCTTGAAAAAATATCAACATCCCGAGTCGGCCATGCTTCTTTATATCATATACCTCACATGTTTCTGCAGTTTAAACAAATCTGTTGTTATCTAATAAACAAACATATATGCAATTCCCTGACCAAGGAATATGAAAATCTATGCATTTTCAGATGAGCTGTGCGGCATTCTGCAAACACTATAATGCATCAGAAAACTGCGGAATTTCAGACAGAAATTTAAAAGCACATGAATTTTGAATTAAACAGAACATTTTTATTTTTGAACATAAATGCATTCTGTAAAAAGATGAGATAAATTCAATATAAATCAAACACGAAAATACTTTAAAACAGTAATCATGATGCAATATTAGACTTTTTAACACTTTCATCGAAAACCACACAGTTTTTCTCTGTTAACGTAGTTTCAAGTGCCAAATTGTGGTCAAATCTAAAATGTTGAAACATGCAGTGCCTATCAATTTTAAAATATCTCCTATATAGCTGTATTTCCATAGGATAAGTAAGTTGAAATAATCTGATTATGTAACACTACAACAGCTTTTTCATCCCTACCCCCCAGTTTGGAATCTGATAATTTAAAAGCACATGAATTTTGAATTCCACAGAACATTTTTATTTTTGAACATAAATGCATTCTTCAAAAAGATGAGATGAATTCAATATAAATCAAACACGAAAATACTTTAAAACAGTAATCATGATGCAATATTAGACTTTTAACACTTTCATCGAAAACCACACAGTTTTTCTCTGTTAACATAGTTTCAAGTGCCAAATTGTGGTCAAATCTAAAATGTTGAAACATGCAGTGCCTATGAATTTCAAAATATCTCCTATATAGCTGTATTTCCACAGGATAAGTAAGTTGAAATAATCTGATTATGTAACACTACAACAGTTTTTTCATCCCCACCCCCCGGTATGGAATCTGATACATTGCTGACCAATCATAGGTCGCCCCGTTCACTCAGGCCTGTCAAATGATTTACAATGGCGATGGTGCCTACACCTGTCCTGACCAAGAGATATGCACAACCGTCGATCAACACACAAGCCATTAATGTTATCTTCCAATATGAGAGGCCATGATAAACACACAAGCGTCCTTTTCAAGCTCGGAAATTAAGTCATCACCAAAAAGCAAAGTTTACAGAGGTCCTCGGGGCTGGAACCCAAACTGATTACGATTTGCCCTCCACTTCCACCACAGGTGTCATAGAGATCAGGGATGAAATTGATATGCATCATCGTTCTCCTAAAGCCAGTCCAGGAAGAGATCAGGTTTTGAGATGTAGACCTGAAATGTTAAATTTGGATGAGAATGAGAATTCTGGGGCGAATACTATCCAGGGAAATGGTCATTGACATCCAGAAAATGGTCAAAATGTGGAATTCTGTCATTCAGTTAAATGTCAAGGGGAGAAGACAGGCCTGTGCAGTACCAAATTTCCAGCCCATTACTATTAGTGAGCAGAAGTGGGGATGAGGTTGGATGTACTTCTTAAAGTGTATGAAATGCACATTTATCTCACCTGTTTTGCTTCTTTTTTTTTAATACTTGTGTTGAGGTCAATCATTCCACTCTATGAAACATTGTCCTGGCACCTGAAATGATAGGAGGCTGGGGATAAATATGCAATAAAAAACAGTGAGAAAATAAGAAAAAAATATGGTTTCAACTGGAAATAGAAATAAACCTCTTTATTTCTCGCGAACAGCCCGTCACTGGCCCTCCAAAAAGAAACCAGTTAACAATCAGTAAAAAAGTAAACCTTGAGTGTCACATAAGTCTAAGCCAATCTCAAAGGTAGATGCCATGTTTTGAGGTTCGGTCTAAATATTAAGGCCAACTGCATGTTTGGTCAAAAGTCACACAGGTGTGAATTTTGGAGTGTACATGTTAACATTTCATTGTATGATGTCAAAAACATGTTAGGTCTAAATGTTAAGGCCAACTGCAGACTTGGTTCAAGGTCACAACATGTAAAGAGGGTTAGGGCACATGATTTTTTTACACAATTGTGGGTTTGGGCTAGGGTCAGAACTAGGTCTTGGCTTAGGCCTAGGCTACATGCTTTTTGACAAGATTGTGGGTTAGGGTTAGGGTAAGGACTGGGTCTTGGGTTAGGGTTAGGGTCAGCCTTGTTTACATCTCGTGACTTTAGACCAAATCTGGAGTTGAGTTGGCCTTAATATTTAGACCTAACCATGTTTTGATATCCTTGTGAACAAAATGTTACACATTTACAACCCAAAATTCACACTCAACCAACGGATACCCCCAATCATGGCTATTTTGATACCAAATAGTCAAAAAACTTACTGCTGGGCAATAAAAAAGCAGTATTCTTACTATTTCTGACACTTTCCATTCAAAACTTCAGGAAATAAGCCCTTGAAAAAATATCAACATCCCGAGTCGGCCATGCTTCTTTATATCATCAGGACTCAGACTAGCAATTATTTGCCCATTGACTTCAATGTTAAATGACTGTAACATCACAGGCTGTAGCTTTTTGCTCAACATTCCGTTGGTTCCAATCTTTATAGGCACAATGGGGACAACATTTGGCAATCTCCTCATCATAATTTTGTAGGGGGTTGACCGTTTAGATTTTTTGCTACACGGATTTGAAGTTGACAGGGGTGAAAATCTCACTTCCGACACAATGATTGCTCTGCAGAAAGACACTTTACACCCCCTATCCCTCCGCTGTAATATCATCAGTATTACCCAAAACTGCTATGAAATTGCAAATTTGATCCCTTTTCTCCAATTCTAGACCAAAAAGTCAACCCAAAAATGCAGGAAGAGGGGAGAAAAAAATTAAGGGAAAAATTGTCTATTTATAACTCGCACTACATTCGTCCATCATGAAATAAGGGGAAATAATTACTAGTCTTAGTCCTATATACCTCACATGTTTCTGCAGTTTAAACAAATCTGTTGTTATCTAATAAACAAACATATATGCAATTCCCTGACCAAAGAATATGAAAATCTATGCATTTTCAGATGAGCTGTGCGGCATTCTGCAAACACTATAATGCATCAGAAAACTGCGGAATTTCAGACAGAAATTTAAAAGCACATGAATTTTGAATTAAACAGAACATTTTTATTTTTGAACATAAATGCATTCTGTAAAAAGATGAGATAAATTCAATATAAATCAAACACGAAAATACTTTAAAACAGTAATCATGATGCAATATTAGACTTTTTAACACTTTCATCGAAAACCACACAGTTTTTCTCTGTTAACGTAGTTTCAAGTGCCAAATTGTGGTCAAATCTAAAATGTTGAAACATGCAGTGCCTATCAATTTTAAAATATCTCCTATATAGCTGTATTTCCATAGGATAAGTAAGTTGAAATAATCTGATTATGTAACACTACAACAGCTTTTTCATCCCTACCCCCCAGTTTGGAATCTGATAATTTAAAAGCACATGAATTTTGAATTCCACAGAACATTTTTATTTTTGAACATAAATGCATTCTTCAAAAAGATGAGATGAATTCAATATAAATCAAACACGAAAATACTTTAAAACAGTAATCATGATGCAATATTAGACTTTTAACACTTTCATCGAAAACCACACAGTTTTTCTCTGTTAACATAGTTTCAAGTGCCAAATTGTGGTCAAATCTAAAATGTTGAAACATGCAGTGCCTATGAATTTCAAAATATCTCCTATATAGCTGTATTTCCACAGGATAAGTAAGTTGAAATAATCTGATTATGTAACACTACAACAGTTTTTTCATCCCCACCCCCCGGTATGGAATCTGATACATTGCTGACCAATCATAGGTCGCCCTGTTCACTCAGGCCTGTCAAATGATTTACAATGGCGATGGTGCCTACACCTGTCCTGACCAAGAGATATGCACAACCGTCGATCAACACACAAGCCATTAATGTTATCTTCCAATATGAGAGGCCATGATAAACACACAAGCGTCCTTTTCAAGCTCGGAAATTAAGTCATCACCAAAAAGCAAAGTTTACAGAGGTCCTCGGGGCTGGAACCCAAACTGATTACGATTTGCCCTCCACTTCCACCACAGGTGTCATAGAGATCAGGGATGAAATTGATATGCATCATCGTTCTCCTAAAGCCAGTCCAGGAAGAGATCAGGTTTTGAGATGTAGACCTGAAATGTTAAATTTGGATGAGAATGAGAATTCTGGGGCGAATACTATCCAGGGAAATGGTCATTGACATCCAGAAAATGGTCAAAATGTGGAATTCTGTCATTCAGTTAAATGTCAAGGGGAGAAGACAGGCCTGTGCAGTACCAAATTTCCAGCCCATTACTATTAGTGAGCAGAAGTGGGGATGAGGTTGGATGTACTTCTTAAAGTGTATGAAATGCACATTTATCTCACCTGTTTTGCTTCTTTTTTTTTAATACTTGTGTTGAGGTCAATCATTCCACTCTATGAAACATTGTCCTGGCACCTGAAATGATAGGAGGCTGGGGATAAATATGCAATAAAAAACAGTGAGAAAATAAGAAAAAAATATGGTTTCAACTGGAAATAGAAATAAACCTCTTTATTTCTCGCGAACAGCCCGTCACTGGCCCTCCAAAAAGAAACCAGTTAACAATCAGTAAAAAAGTAAACCTTGAGTGTCACATAAGTCTAAGCCAATCTCAAAGGTAGATGCCATGTTTTGAGGTTCGGTCTAAATATTAAGGCCAACTGCATGTTTGGTCAAAAGTCACACAGGTGTGAATTTTGGAGTGTACATGTTAACATTTCATTGTATGATGTCAAAAACATGTTAGGTCTAAATGTTAAGGCCAACTGCAGACTTGGTTCAAGGTCACAACATGTAAAGAGGGTTAGGGCACATGATTTTTTTACACAATTGTGGGTTTGGGCTAGGGTCAGAACTAGGTCTTGGCTTAGGCCTAGGCTACATGCTTTTTGACAAGATTGTGGGTTAGGGTTAGGGTAAGGACTGGGTCTTGGGTTAGGGTTAGGGTCAGCCTTGTTTACATCTCGTGACTTTAGACCAAATCTGGAGTTGAGTTGGCCTTAATATTTAGACCTAACCATGTTTTGATATCCTTGTGAACAAAATGTTACACATTTACAACCCAAAATTCACACCCAACCAACGGATACCCCCAATCATGGCTATTTTGATACCAAATAGTCAAAAAACTTACTGCTGGGCAATAAAAAAGCAGTATTCTTACTATTTCTGACACTTTCCATTCAAAACTTCAGGAAATAAGCCCTTGAAAAAATATCAACATCCCGAGTCGGCCATGCTTCTTTATATCATCATACCTCACATGTTTCTGCAGTTTAAACAAATCTGTTGTTATCTAATAAACAAACATATATGCAATTCCCTGACCAAAGAATATGAAAATCTATGCATTTTCAGATGAGCTGTGCGGCATTCTGCAAACACTATAATGCATCAGAAAACTGCGGAATTTCAGACAGAAATTTAAAAGCACATGAATTTTGAATTAAACAGAACATTTTTATTTTTGAACATAAATGCATTCTGTAAAAAGATGAGATAAATTCAATATAAATCAAACACGAAAATACTTTAAAACAGTAATCATGATGCAATATTAGACTTTTTAACACTTTCATCGAAAACCACACAGTTTTTCTCTGTTAACGTAGTTTCAAGTGCCAAATTGTGGTCAAATCTAAAATGTTGAAACATGCAGTGCCTATCAATTTTAAAATATCTCCTATATAGCTGTATTTCCATAGGATAAGTAAGTTGAAATAATCTGATTATGTAACACTACAACAGCTTTTTCATCCCTACCCCCCAGTTTGGAATCTGATAATTTAAAAGCACATGAATTTTGAATTCCACAGAACATTTTTATTTTTGAACATAAATGCATTCTTCAAAAAGATGAGATGAATTCAATATAAATCAAACACGAAAATACTTTAAAACAGTAATCATGATGCAATATTAGACTTTTAACACTTTCATCGAAAACCACACAGTTTTTCTCTGTTAACATAGTTTCAAGTGCCAAATTGTGGTCAAATCTAAAATGTTGAAACATGCAGTGCCTATGAATTTCAAAATATCTCCTATATAGCTGTATTTCCACAGGATAAGTAAGTTGAAATAATCTGATTATGTAACACTACAACAGTTTTTTCATCCCCACCCCCCGGTATGGAATCTGATACATTGCTGACCAATCATAGGTCGCCCCGTTCACTCAGGCCTGTCAAATGATTTACAATGGCGATGGTGCCTACACCTGTCCTGACCAAGAGATATGCACAACCGTCGATCAACACACAAGCCATTAATGTTATCTTCCAATATGAGAGGCCATGATAAACACACAAGCGTCCTTTTCAAGCTCGGAAATTAAGTCATCACCAAAAAGCAAAGTTTACAGAGGTCCTCGGGGCTGGAACCCAAACTGATTACGATTTGCCCTCCACTTCCACCACAGGTGTCATAGAGATCAGGGATGAAATTGATATGCATCATCGTTCTCCTAAAGCCAGTCCAGGAAGAGATCAGGTTTTGAGATGTAGACCTGAAATGTTAAATTTGGATGAGAATGAGAATTCTGGGGCGAATACTATCCAGGGAAATGGTCATTGACATCCAGAAAATGGTCAAAATGTGGAATTCTGTCATTCAGTTAAATGTCAAGGGGAGAAGACAGGCCTGTGCAGTACCAAATTTCCAGCCCATTACTATTAGTGAGCAGAAGTGGGGATGAGGTTGGATGTACTTCTTAAAGTGTATGAAATGCACATTTATCTCACCTGTTTTGCTTCTTTTTTTTTAATACTTGTGTTGAGGTCAATCATTCCACTCTATGAAACATTGTCCTGGCACCTGAAATGATAGGAGGCTGGGGATAAATATGCAATAAAAAACAGTGAGAAAATAAGAAAAAAATATGGTTTCAACTGGAAATAGAAATAAACCTCTTTATTTCTCGCGAACAGCCCGTCACTGGCCCTCCAAAAAGAAACCAGTTAACAATCAGTAAAAAAGTAAACCTTGAGTGTCACATAAGTCTAAGCCAATCTCAAAGGTAGATGCCATGTTTTGAGGTTCGGTCTAAATATTAAGGCCAACTGCATGTTTGGTCAAAAGTCACACAGGTGTGAATTTTGGAGTGTACATGTTAACATTTCATTGTATGATGTCAAAAACATGTTAGGTCTAAATGTTAAGGCCAACTGCAGACTTGGTTCAAGGTCACAACATGTAAAGAGGGTTAGGGCACATGATTTTTTTACACAATTGTGGGTTTGGGCTAGGGTCAGAACTAGGTCTTGGCTTAGGCCTAGGCTACATGCTTTTTGACAAGATTGTGGGTTAGGGTTAGGGTAAGGACTGGGTCTTGGGTTAGGGTTAGGGTCAGCCTTGTTTACATCTCGTGACTTTAGACCAAATCTGGAGTTGAGTTGGCCTTAATATTTAGACCTAACCATGTTTTGATATCCTTGTGAACAAAATGTTACACATTTACAACCCAAAATTCACACTCAACCAACGGATACCCCCAATCATGGCTATTTTGATACCAAATAGTCAAAAAACTTACTGCTGGGCAATAAAAAAGCAGTATTCTTACTATTTCTGACACTTTCCATTCAAAACTTCAGGAAATAAGCCCTTGAAAAAATATCAACATCCCGAGTCGGCCATGCTTCTTTATATCATCAATACCTCACATGTTTCTGCAGTTTAAACAAATCTGTTGTTATCTAATAAACAAACATATATGCAATTCCCTGACCAAAGAATATGAAAATCTATGCATTTTCAGATGAGCTGTGCGGCATTCTGCAAACACTATAATGCATCAGAAAACTGCGGAATTTCAGACAGAAATTTAAAAGCACATGAATTTTGAATTAAACAGAACATTTTTATTTTTGAACATAAATGCATTCTGTAAAAAGATGAGATAAATTCAATATAAATCAAACACGAAAATACTTTAAAACAGTAATCATGATGCAATATTAGACTTTTTAACACTTTCATCGAAAACCACACAGTTTTTCTCTGTTAACGTAGTTTCAAGTGCCAAATTGTGGTCAAATCTAAAATGTTGAAACATGCAGTGCCTATCAATTTTAAAATATCTCCTATATAGCTGTATTTCCATAGGATAAGTAAGTTGAAATAATCTGATTATGTAACACTACAACAGCTTTTTCATCCCTACCCCCCAGTTTGGAATCTGATAATTTAAAAGCACATGAATTTTGAATTCCACAGAACATTTTTATTTTTGAACATAAATGCATTCTTCAAAAAGATGAGATGAATTCAATATAAATCAAACACGAAAATACTTTAAAACAGTAATCATGATGCAATATTAGACTTTTAACACTTTCATCGAAAACCACACAGTTTTTCTCTGTTAACATAGTTTCAAGTGCCAAATTGTGGTCAAATCTAAAATGTTGAAACATGCAGTGCCTATGAATTTCAAAATATCTCCTATATAGCTGTATTTCCACAGGATAAGTAAGTTGAAATAATCTGATTATGTAACACTACAACAGTTTTTTCATCCCCACCCCCCGGTATGGAATCTGATACATTGCTGACCAATCATAGGTCGCCCCGTTCACTCAGGCCTGTCAAATGATTTACAATGGCGATGGTGCCTACACCTGTCCTGACCAAGAGATATGCACAACCGTCGATCAACACACAAGCCATTAATGTTATCTTCCAATATGAGAGGCCATGATAAACACACAAGCGTCCTTTTCAAGCTCGGAAATTAAGTCATCACCAAAAAGCAAAGTTTACAGAGGTCCTCGGGGCTGGAACCCAAACTGATTACGATTTGCCCTCCACTTCCACCACAGGTGTCATAGAGATCAGGGATGAAATTGATATGCATCATCGTTCTCCTAAAGCCAGTCCAGGAAGAGATCAGGTTTTGAGATGTAGACCTGAAATGTTAAATTTGGATGAGAATGAGAATTCTGGGGCGAATACTATCCAGGGAAATGGTCATTGACATCCAGAAAATGGTCAAAATGTGGAATTCTGTCATTCAGTTAAATGTCAAGGGGAGAAGACAGGCCTGTGCAGTACCAAATTTCCAGCCCATTACTATTAGTGAGCAGAAGTGGGGATGAGGTTGGATGTACTTCTTAAAGTGTATGAAATGCACATTTATCTCACCTGTTTTGCTTCTTTTTTTTTAATACTTGTGTTGAGGTCAATCATTCCACTCTATGAAACATTGTCCTGGCACCTGAAATGATAGGAGGCTGGGGATAAATATGCAATAAAAAACAGTGAGAAAATAAGAAAAAAATATGGTTTCAACTGGAAATAGAAATAAACCTCTTTATTTCTCGCGAACAGCCCGTCACTGGCCCTCCAAAAAGAAACCAGTTAACAATCAGTAAAAAAGTAAACCTTGAGTGTCACATAAGTCTAAGCCAATCTCAAAGGTAGATGCCATGTTTTGAGGTTCGGTCTAAATATTAAGGCCAACTGCATGTTTGGTCAAAAGTCACACAGGTGTGAATTTTGGAGTGTACATGTTAACATTTCATTGTATGATGTCAAAAACATGTTAGGTCTAAATGTTAAGGCCAACTGCAGACTTGGTTCAAGGTCACAACATGTAAAGAGGGTTAGGGCACATGATTTTTTTACACAATTGTGGGTTTGGGCTAGGGTCAGAACTAGGTCTTGGCTTAGGCCTAGGCTACATGCTTTTTGACAAGATTGTGGGTTAGGGTTAGGGTAAGGACTGGGTCTTGGGTTAGGGTTAGGGTCAGCCTTGTTTACATCTCGTGACTTTAGACCAAATCTGGAGTTGAGTTGGCCTTAATATTTAGACCTAACCATGTTTTGATATCCTTGTGAACAAAATGTTACACATTTACAACCCAAAATTCACACTCAACCAACGGATACCCCCAATCATGGCTATTTTGATACCAAATAGTCAAAAAACTTACTGCTGGGCAATAAAAAAGCAGTATTCTTACTATTTCTGACACTTTCCATTCAAAACTTCAGGAAATAAGCCCTTGAAAAAATATCAACATCCCGAGTCGGCCATGCTTCTTTATATCATCAGGACTCAGACTAGCAATTATTTGCCCATTGACTTCAATGTTAAATGACTGTAACATCACAGGCTGTAGCTTTTTGCTCAACATTCCGTTGGTTCCAATCTTTATAGGCACAATGGGGACAACATTTGGCAATCTCCTCATCATAATTTTGTAGGGGGTTGACCGTTTAGATTTTTTGCTACACGGATTTGAAGTTGACAGGGGTGAAAATCTCACTTCCGACACAATGATTGCTCTGCAGAAAGACACTTTACACCCCCTATCCCTCCGCTGTAATATCATCAGTATTACCCAAAACTGCTATGAAATTGCAAATTTGATCCCTTTTCTCCAATTCTAGACCAAAAAGTCAACCCAAAAATGCAGGAAGAGGGGAGAAAAAAATTAAGGGAAAAATTGTCTATTTATAACTCGCACTACATTCGTCCATCATGAAATAAATGGAAATAATTACTAGTCTTAGTCCTATATAGCAATTCTCTCTCTCTCTCTTTTCTCCCCTTTTGCATGCCCATTTGTGTTGATTTTTTGGTCTAGAATGGACGAAGAGGGTTTGAATTAACATTTTCTGCCAGGTTTTGGTAAATATTCATGATTTTGAGGCGGAAGGATAAGAGGGTTATCAGGTTAGCTACGGCGATATGTACGGCAACTAGTTACATGTTTTTAGTATGCTTCTTCAAGTTTGTGTATCTCAAAATTTTGGTGGTCAACCTCATACAAATTTTAGTGCAAAGACATGACCATTTGTTCCTCTGTCTGTAGTGAAAAGCATTCAGCCCAACGAAAATTTGGGGAAAAGTTGGAGGTGGGCAAAGAGGCCAGAATTAACATTGAAGTCAATGGGGAAATTAATGGTGGTCTGCCTCCTATATGAAAACAACCTGACAGTGGATGAAAGGCCTAAATTTGATGATATGATCTCCAAATTGTCAGAAAATGTGATATATGGCATTTTGATGGTAAAAAATTTGAAAAGGTAAAATTTCAAAAATATTTGACAAATTTGGGAGGGGAAATTTTGATTTTAGTCAAAATTTTGTGATTTTCAGTGTTTATTTACTTTTCAAAATTAGTGGAAAATATTTTAATGTATGATTTTTACTTATTAATTATTCACCTGTTGTAAAATGAACCAAAATGTCTTGCATGTCTTTATTTTCATTGTTAAATAACTTGGCAAGGATCCATGTGTTTGTCAGATATTGAAAAAATATTCATGTGTTTGTCAAAAATTTAAAAATTAAGAAATTTAGTCTAATTATGTTCTGCTTAGGTGTGTTAGAATTTTCAAAACATGAGTGAACTGCATTTTGCTGCTGTTTTCCTCCGGCTTAACACAATTTTAATCTTTCAAAACCTGAAATTGTTGCATTTCCCTTCTCGAGAAAGTAAAATCTATGTGTTTGCAGGGAAATTTATCTGTCTTCATTTCATTTAGACTGGCTCACCCTCCCCACCCCACCCCTTTTCTTGAAGATGATATTTGGATATTCAATTGAACATTTGTTGACTCCAAATTAGCAGTAATCTGATTTTGTGCTTGAATTGTAACCGAGCATTTTATTTGACACAAACAAATAGTTACATATAAGATTTCAAGGATTTCTAAGACTTTTTGTTTATGGTCAAACATGTAATCCTATGACATTTCTTCCAAATGAGTCCACACCCCAAAATGGATATGTTGTAGATGTGTTTTTTGCAGCTTAATGTTTTACATTTTGAATGTAAATCTATTATTTGTGGTGATCTTTGAAAATGTGGCACTTACAGGGCAATAAAATATTAATTAATAGCCTTTCCATACCCCTTTTATGCTTTGAATTATGTCAGAACTCCCTTTTTCCATCTCATTTTGTCAGGACATTGATGTAAAGATTAAAACAACTTGCTTCCACATAATATTTACACTATGTAATTTCAAGGATACCTCTGATTGTTAAAGTATTTTAAAAACTGAAATATTCCCATTTTTTAAAAAAAAATAGTGCTTTGCGACCCTTTTATTAGAGTGGCTGGTTGTCACCTAAATACAGCATTTATTTTACATTTATCAATCCATATTTTAATAAATAATTCATACTTCGTATAACAAACTGTGTTTGTATGTATGTATATAAGCCAGGGATAGAAAAACATGGCTTTTAGCCATATTCCATCAACAGTATTACTTATGTGGACACAAGTGGGATTTGTTACCACACCAACATTTTTAGAGGGTGGGCTTACAGGTTTCACAATAGTTCCTTACAGTTACCTTCAAGGCAACAAATTTGCAGCTTGTCTTCCTGTATACCGGCCAAGGTTTCTAGAAATAAATGCTTTTCATCTCAGACTTTCCCAGAAATAGGGAAATATTAGCATTTTGAGGCATACAAAGTGTCAAAAATGGACCATTTTGTAGAAAAAGGTAAAAGAAAGTCAATTTTTGAAAAATATTCCAATATTTTGAATATTTTTGATGTGACTTGTCTGAAACTCTTTAAATATTTTCGCAGAACTCACATTTCGACAAAATTAAGAAAGAATCTTCAATTCTAGAACAAAAGGCCCATGGACCTGAGCTGCAATCCGGTATACAAAACACTACATAACTTTAAAGGGTCACCATTTCTGCAGTAATTATTTTTTTCTGATTCTGTATTATAATAATTTTGCAAAAATAAATGTGAAGCTATAAAGAAAAGAATTTTGATGATATATGAACTTATAAAACCTATATGAAAACAACCTGACAGTGGATGAAAGGCCTAAATTTGATGATATGATCTCCAAATTGTCAGAAAATGTGATATATGGCATTTTGATGGTAAAAAATGTGAAATGGTAAAATTTCAAAAATATTTGACAAATTTGGGAGGGGAAATTTTGATTTTAGTCAAAATTTTGTGATTTTCAGTGTTTATTTACTTTTCAAAATTAGTGGAAAATATTTTAATGTATGATTTTTACTTTTTCTGCATTATAATTGTTAGACGGGAAGAAAGTATCATAATTTCACTCAATTTTGCCTAAAAATCATGATAAATTGTCTGAAATTCTTCAGATTACCCCCAATATTGCTGTCAAAATTTTAATTATTCATCTGTTGTAAAATGAACCAAAATGTCTTGCATGTCTTTATTTTCATTGTTAAATAACTTGGCAAGGATCCATGTGTTTGTCAGATATTGAAAAAATATTCATGTGTTTGTCAAAAATTTAAAAATTAAGAAATTTAGTCTAATTATGTTCTGCTTAGGTGTGTTAGAATTTTCAAAACATGAGTGAACTGCATTTTGCTGCTGTTTTCCTCCGGCTTAACACAATTTTAATCTTTCAAAACCTGAAATTGTTGCATTTCCCTTCTCGAGAAAGTAAAATCTATGTGTTTGCAGGGAAATTTATCTGTCTTCATTTCATTTAGACTGGCTCACCCTCCCCACCCCACCCCTTTTCTTGAAGATGATATTTGGATATTCAATTGAACATTTGTTGACTCCAAATTAGCAGTAATCTGATTTTGTGCTTGAATTGTAACCGAGCATTTTATTTGACACAAACAAATAGTTACATATAAGATTTCAAGGATTTCTAAGACTTTTTGTTTATGGTCAAACATGTAATCCTATGACATTTCTTCCAAATGAGTCCACACCCCAAAATGGATATGTTGTAGATGTGTTTTTTGCAGCTTAATGTTTTACATTTTGAATGTAAATCTATTATTTGTGGTGATCTTTGAAAATGTGGCACTTACAGGGCAATAAAATATTAATTAATAGCCTTTCCATACCCCTTTTATGCTTTGAATTATGTCAGAACTCCCTTTTTCCATCTCATTTTGTCAGGACATTGATGTAAAGATTAAAACAACTTGCTTCCACATAATATTTACACTATGTAATTTCAAGGATACCTCTGATTGTTAAAGTATTTTAAAAACTGAAATATTCCCATTTTTTAAAAAAAAATAGTGCTTTGCGACCCTTTTATTAGAGTGGCTGGTTGTCACCTAAATACAGCATTTATTTTACATTTATCAATCCATATTTTAATAAATAATTCATACTTCGTATAACAAACTGTGTTTGTATGTATGTATATAAGCCAGGGATAGAAAAACATGGCTTTTAGCCATATTCCATCAACAGTATTACTTATGTGGACACAAGTGGGATTTGTTACCACACCAACATTTTTAGAGGGTGGGCTTACAGGTTTCACAATAGTTCCTTACAGTTACCTTCAAGGCAACAAATTTGCAGCTTGTCTTCCTGTATACCGGCCAAGGTTTCTAGAAATAAATGCTTTTCATCTCAGACTTTCCCAGAAATAGGGAAATATTAGCATTTTGAGGCATACAAAGTGTCAAAAATGGACCATTTTGTAGAAAAAGGTAAAAGAAAGTCAATTTTTGAAAAATATTCCAATATTTTGAATATTTTTGATGTGACTTGTCTGAAACTCTTTAAATATTTTCGCAGAACTCACATTTCGACAAAATTAAGAAAGAATCTTCAATTCTAGAACAAAAGGCCCATGGACCTGAGCTGCAATCCGGTATACAAAACACTACATAACTTTAAAGGGTCACCATTTCTGCAGTAATTATTTTTTTCTGATTCTGTATTATAATAATTTTGCAAAAATAAATGTGAAGCTATAAAGAAAAGAATTTTGATGATATATGAACTTATAAAACCTATATGAAAACAACCTGACAGTGGATGAAAGGCCTAAATTTGATGATATGATCTCCAAATTGTCAGAAAATGTGATATATGGCATTTTGATGGTAAAAAATGTGAAATGGTAAAATTTCAAAAATATTTGACAAATTTGGGAGGGGAAATTTTGATTTTAGTCAAAATTTTGTGATTTTCAGTGTTTATTTACTTTTCAAAATTAGTGGAAAATATTTTAATGTATGATTTTTACTTTTTCTGCATTATAATTGTTAGACGGGAAGAAAGTATCATAATTTCACTCAATTTTGCCTAAAAATCATGATAAATTGTCTGAAATTCTTCAGATTACCCCCAATATTGCTGTCAAAATTTTAATTATTCATCTGTTGTAAAATGAACCAAAATGTCTTGCATGTCTTTATTTTCATTGTTAAATAACTTGGCAAGGATCCATGTGTTTGTCAGATATTGAAAAAATATTCATGTGTTTGTCAAAAATTTAAAAATTAAGAAATTTAGTCTAATTATGTTCTGCTTAGGTGTGTTAGAATTTTCAAAACATGAGTGAACTGCATTTTGCTGCTGTTTTCCTCCGGCTTAACACAATTTTAATCTTTCAAAACCTGAAATTGTTGCATTTCCCTTCTCGAGAAAGTAAAATCTATGTGTTTGCAGGGAAATTTATCTGTCTTCATTTCATTTAGACTGGCTCACCCTCCCCACCCCACCCCTTTTCTTGAAGATGATATTTGGATATTCAATTGAACATTTGTTGACTCCAAATTAGCAGTAATCTGATTTTGTGCTTGAATTGTAACCGAGCATTTTATTTGACACAAACAAATAGTTACATATAAGATTTCAAGGATTTCTAAGACTTTTTGTTTATGGTCAAACATGTAATCCTATGACATTTCTTCCAAATGAGTCCACACCCCAAAATGGATATGTTGTAGATGTGTTTTTTGCAGCTTAATGTTTTACATTTTGAATGTAAATCTATTATTTGTGGTGATCTTTGAAAATGTGGCACTTACAGGGCAATAAAATATTAATTAATAGCCTTTCCATACCCCTTTTATGCTTTGAATTATGTCAGAACTCCCTTTTTCCATCTCATTTTGTCAGGACATTGATGTAAAGATTAAAACAACTTGCTTCCACATAATATTTACACTATGTAATTTCAAGGATACCTCTGATTGTTAAAGTATTTTAAAAACTGAAATATTCCCATTTTTTAAAAAAAAATAGTGCTTTGCGACCCTTTTATTAGAGTGGCTGGTTGTCACCTAAATACAGCATTTATTTTACATTTATCAATCCATATTTTAATAAATAATTCATACTTCGTATAACAAACTGTGTTTGTATGTATGTATATAAGCCAGGGATAGAAAAACATGGCTTTTAGCCATATTCCATCAACAGTATTACTTATGTGGACACAAGTGGGATTTGTTACCACACCAACATTTTTAGAGGGTGGGCTTACAGGTTTCACAATAGTTCCTTACAGTTACCTTCAAGGCAACAAATTTGCAGCTTGTCTTCCTGTATACCGGCCAAGGTTTCTAGAAATAAATGCTTTTCATCTCAGACTTTCCCAGAAATAGGGAAATATTAGCATTTTGAGGCATACAAAGTGTCAAAAATGGACCATTTTGTAGAAAAAGGTAAAAGAAAGTCAATTTTTGAAAAATATTCCAATATTTTGAATATTTTTGATGTGACTTGTCTGAAACTCTTTAAATATTTTCGCAGAACTCACATTTCGACAAAATTAAGAAAGAATCTTCAATTCTAGAACAAAAGGCCCATGGACCTGAGCTGCAATCCGGTATACAAAACACTACATAACTTTAAAGGGTCACCATTTCTGCAGTAATTATTTTTTTCTGATTCTGTATTATAATAATTTTGCAAAAATAAATGTGAAGCTATAAAGAAAAGAATTTTGATGATATTTGAACTTATAAAACCATATAGAAAACAACCTGACAGTGGATGAAAGGCCTAAATTTGATGATATGATCTCCAATTGTCAGAAAATGTGATATATGGCATTTTGATGGTAAAAAATGTGAAATGGTAAAATTTCAAAAATATTTGACAAATTTGGGAGGGGAAATTTTGATTTTAGTCAAAATTTTGTGATTTTCAGTGTTTATTTACTTTTCAAAATTAGTGGAAAATATTTTAATGTATGAATTTTACTTTTTCTGCATTATAATTGTTAGACGGGAAGAAAGTATCATAATTTCACTCAATTTTGCCTAAAAATCATGATAAATTGTCTGAAATTCTTCAGATTACCCCCAATATTGCTGTCAAAATTTTAATTATTCATCTGTTGTAAAATGAACCAAAATGTCTTGCATGTCTTTATTTTCATTGTTAAATAACTTGGCAAGGATCCATGTGTTTGTCAGATATTGAAAAAATATTCATGTGTTTGTCAAAAATTTAAAAATTAAGAAATTTAGTCTAATTATGTTCTGCTTAGGTGTGTTAGAATTTTCAAAACATGAGTGAACTGCATTTTGCTGCTGTTTTCCTCCGGCTTAACACAATTTTAATCTTTCAAAACCTGAAATTGTTGCATTTCCCTTCTCGAGAAAGTAAAATCTATGTGTTTGCAGGGAAATTTATCTGTCTTCATTTCATTTAGACTGGCTCACCCTCCCCACCCCACCCCTTTTCTTGAAGATGATATTTGGATATTCAATTGAACATTTGTTGACTCCAAATTAGCAGTAATCTGATTTTGTGCTTGAATTGTAACCGAGCATTTTATTTGACACAAACAAATAGTTACATATAAGATTTCAAGGATTTCTAAGACTTTTTGTTTATGGTCAAACATGTAATCCTATGACATTTCTTCCAAATGAGTCCACACCCCAAAATGGATATGTTGTAGATGTGTTTTTTGCAGCTTAATGTTTTACATTTTGAATGTAAATCTATTATTTGTGGTGATCTTTGAAAATGTGGCACTTACAGGGCAATAAAATATTAATTAATAGCCTTTCCATACCCCTTTTATGCTTTGAATTATGTCAGAACTCCCTTTTTCCATCTCATTTTGTCAGGACATTGATGTAAAGATTAAAACAACTTGCTTCCACATAATATTTACACTATGTAATTTCAAGGATACCTCTGATTGTTAAAGTATTTTAAAAACTGAAATATTCCCATTTTTTAAAAAAAATAGTGCTTTGCGACCCTTTTATTAGAGTGGCTGGTTGTCACCTAAATACAGCATTTATTTTACATTTATCAATCCATATTTTAATAAATAATTCATACTTCGTATAACAAACTGTGTTTGTATGTATGTATATAAGCCAGGGATAGAAAAACATGGCTTTTAGCCATATTCCATCAACAGTATTACTTATGTGGACACAAGTGGGATTTGTTACCACACCAACATTTTTAGAGGGTGGGCTTACAGGTTTCACAATAGTTCCTTACAGTTACCTTCAAGGCAACAAATTTGCAGCTTGTCTTCCTGTATACCGGCCAAGGTTTCTAGAAATAAATGCTTTTCATCTCAGACTTTCCCAGAAATAGGGAAATATTAGCATTTTGAGGCATACAAAGTGTCAAAAATGGACCATTTTGTAGAAAAAGGTAAAAGAAAGTCAATTTTTGAAAAATATTCCAATATTTTGAATATTTTTGATGTGACTTGTCTGAAACTCTTTAAATATTTTCGCAGAACTCACATTTCGACAAAATTAAGAAAGAATCTTCAATTCTAGAACAAAAGGCCCATGGACCTGAGCTGCAATCCGGTATACAAAACACTACATAACTTTAAAGGGTCACCATTTCTGCAGTAATTATTTTTTTCTGATTCTGTATTATAATAATTTTGCAAAAATAAATGTGAAGCTATAAAGAAAAGAATTTTGATGATATATGAACTTATAAAACCATATAGGAGGCAGACCACCATTAAATTTCATCATCTCGGTACCCACGAATTGTAGTTCGTCTATTTATAGCAATTCTCTCTCTCTCTCTCTTTTCTCCCCTTTTGCATGCCCATTTGTGTTGATTTTTTGGTCTAGAATGGACGAAGAGGGTTTGAATTAACATTTTCTGCCAGGTTTTGGTAAATATTCATGATTTTGAGGCGGAAGGATAAGAGGGTTATCAGGTTAGCTACGGCGATATGTACGGCAACTAGTTACATGTTTTTAGTATGCTTCTTCAAGTTTGTGTATCTCAAAATTTTGGTGGTCAACCTCATACAAATTTTAGTGCAAAGACATGACCATTTGTTCCTCTGTCTGTAGTGAAAAGCATTCAGCCCAACGAAAATTTGGGGAAAAGTTGGAGGTGGGCAAAGAGGCCAGAATTAACATTGAAGTCAATGGGGAAATTAATGGTGGTCTGCCTCCTTTTGAGTAAAAGATAGGTTACGTGCCCTTGTTTTGAAATTAGTCTCGCTTAACCAGTCTATCGACCATTCTACGTCTGATTGACAGGTCGGGATAATCAAGACTACTTTTTTACGAAACATAACAGAAAGCTAGAACAAGAAATTGAATTTAGAAATAAGCACTTTAGACAACTCAACAATTGTTTTAAGAAACTTGTAAAAGTAAAATGAAACTACTGCTAGTATCATGTTCCTGCTAAAGAAAGTGATTCAGAGATAGTATTTGTACTAAACCAAAAGATGCCGCTCTTAACGGTACAGTTAATGATAAAGCAATTTAAAAAATAAAACAAACGTAATTACTAAAGCTGCTGTAATAACCAAGAAGCTAAATTTTACTGCTATTCAAAATCGTCAACAATAGATTTTTTACGGCTGTAATAGTTGATATATTTGTAGAGAATTGCACGTGCCATGGCTATTTATCGACTCAAAGCGAGTGCGGGGTAGTCAGAAATCAGTTCGAGACACGCAACTGAAGCGTGCACATTTAGCCGTGTCGAGACCAATTTTCTGTAAAGTGCACGGGTCACCCTATTTTTGTCCCATCTGAACGATTCCTGTGTTAGAGATAGGCAAAGTATAACGAGTGCAAAACAATATATAGAAGATTTCACGCACTATCGGCACAGTATAGCCATTTTTCAGCTATACATAATATGAATAATGCAAATGACGATCAGTGGCTGGGTTGTTTTTTGACATGAATTAAAAAGTTAATATTTTTCAATGCGTAAAGTACTTTACTGTAGTAAGTATAGCTTTAGTATTGTTTTATTGCTCAGTGTTTGTAATGTTGGACAAATGTAAATTCCTGGTGATGAACCTAATTGTTTGTTGCCGAGGCGTTTGTTTTAAGGGGAAATTTCGTCGCGAGGTTTTATTTTTTCACAGCGTAGAGTCGTTCAGATGGGACAAAAACCCGAGGTCCCGTGTACACATTAGCGTGCACTGCCGTGTAAGTAAACAATACATTGGCAGTTGGAATTCGATAGAATAGTAGGCCGTAGCGCCATTGTCCGATCACAATTTTCCACATAGCACACTGTAGGGCATAAGATCGTCTTCATTAACCCAGTCGGGGCAGAATAATAGGACTTCAAACCCCCTTTTTTATTTTGTTTATTTTTTTTTAGCATAAAGTCATCTTCAAACGAGAATGGACATACTGTCAGCTGTAAAGAATAAATTTAACCGGGCATTTAATATTAGTTATCACAGAAAAAAACGGGTTTTTGCACACTGGTATAGGGGTACAAAATGACTCATTTACTGAAGTTATATTGGAGGTATTAGGCAAGAAATATTCGGTCAGTCCATGTCGTTTACGCAAAATTATAGTCCGGCCGATCCACCTGCGGACATTGTTTTGTCGGAATAGGAATTTTCTTGACAGTATCTTATGAATAGTCTATTTTTCTGTCCACTAGATCATCGACAGGTTTGTGCGTTTAAAGATAATTAGCTAATTGTATGTCGAATATCTCATAAACTATGCATCGTAGAGGCTAGAAATGTATTACAAACAGATACAAAAGTGTATCATAGCTTTCTGAAAATGTACTGTAAACTGCCCTGAAGCTGTAGCACTATTACTTTCAAGGTAGACAGAAAATGCGACGGGTTCTCTCCAGTGAAGGAGATGAGGCAGATTCGTTAAGACAATCGAAAAATTAACGGTCAGACTTGGATCGATACGGGAAGCTGTTTACTCCAATATAGGGCGACCTTCGGTTGCACAGATTTTCGTACTCTAGTCGATGGCTGAAAGAGAGAGAGAAAAGGGGTTTAACGTCCACTCGACACAAACTAGGTCATTTCGGGACTAACACATGGTTTAATTTTATTTCAATAATTCGCTTGCGCGTAGTGGTCTTTAGCAGTGGGAGGAAACCGGAGGACCCGGAGAAAACCCACGAGGTTGGACAGGCGACCCTACTCCTTGCCACGTACAACCGGGGATTCGAAACCACGCCAGTTGACTCAATGACAGACTTTATGGTACAGTGCGCACGTGCTAACCATTAAGCAACCCCCCCCCCCCCCAGATGGCTGAATAGACTGGTACGTGTGTATATTTGTCTGAAAAATATCATAAAATTGCCGATTGCCAATGCGTTATTTACACAATAGACAGTATTTCAGAAGATTGAGAATAAGCGTTGGGGTATAGATATTAACAACTTTGGTTATTATTCGAGTTTTTTTCTTGATGAATTTGCCAGATTAAGATATTCTTATGCGAATATATATTGGTCCACGACAAGCCAGCGGCTGCCAGGCAGGATACGCCCACATTTTCGAGAGATGGATAGAGAACAAGCTAAAACGAAAGTGATTTTTCCTACAATCAAGGGCCATAATTCAGGAAATTACAATTCGATATGCACAAATATCGAAAGGACCGAGATCTTTGGGTTATAAACTTACATGTCAAGTTTCAACAAAATCGGATAAAAATTGTGACCTCTATAGGGTCCACAACCTTGATATACCATATTTGTACGCTATTTGAGAACGAGGAGCGGCCAATTTGTCTGTCAGTTTTGGGTCGATTTTTACGAAATTCGAACTCAGTCGTCCTTAGGGTGTAACGGTGATATAATAATACGTTTTTTAAATCGGATAAAAATTATAACCTCTATAGGGTCCACAAGCTAAAAACGCGATTTTTCGTACAATCAGGGGCCATAATTCAGGAAGTTACGTTCCAATATGCGCGAATATCGAAATGAACCGAGATCTTTGGGTTATAAACTTACATTTCAAGTTTCAAGAAAATCGGATAAAAATTGTGACCTCTATAGGGTCCACAACCTTGATATACCCTATTTTTACACTATTTGAGAACGAACGGCGGCCATTTTGTCTGTCAGTTTTGGGCCAATTTTCACGAAATTCGAACTCAGCCGTCCTTAGGGTTTAACGGCGATATAGTAATATGTTTTTTTAAATCGGATAAAAATTATGACCTCTATAGGGTCCACAAGCTAAAAACACGATTTTTCGTAACATCAAGGGCCATAATTCATGAAGCTACGGTCCGATATGCGCGAATATCGAAAGAAACCAAGATCTTTGGGTTATAAACTTACATTTCAAGTTTCAACAAAATCGGATAAAAATTGTGACCTCTATAGGGTCCACAACCTTGATATACCATATTTTTACGCTATTTGAGAACGAACGGCGGCCATTTTGTCTGTCAGTTTTGGGCCGATTTTCACGAAATTCAAACTCAGTTTTTTTTAAATCGGATAAAAATTATGACCTCTATAGGGTCCACAAGCTAAAAACGCGATTTTTCGTACAATCAGGGGCCATAATTCAGGAAGTTAGGTTCCGATATGCACGAATATCGAAAGGAACCGAGATCCTTGGGTTATAAGCATACATTTTAAGTTTAAACCAAATCGGATAAAAATTGTGACCTCTACAGTGTTCACAAGCTAAAAGCGTGATTTTTCGTGCAATCAGGGGCCATAATCCATGAAGTTACGGTCCGATACATGCCAATATCGACAGGAACCGAGATCTTAGGGTGATAAACCTATATTTCAAGTTTCATTGAAATCGGATAAAAATTGTGACCTGTAGACTGTTCACAAACAATTGCGGACAGGGGCGACGATAATTTACATGTGGGCGTATAAAAACTTTGTGAAATGATCCATGTTATCCAGTTTACCTGGATGGAGTCAGCGTTGTAACAAAATGTTTTAAAAGGATTTCTTCATCCCCATCCCCAAAATATAGTTTTAAAAATGAGTAATTAGCAGAAAATATAGCAGGCAAAACATCTGACATGGGCGCCGCCATATTGAATAGCCAATGGTCCGGGTCATTTGCGCTAGGGTGCTGGTTCAGAATGTAGTCGCGACCACAGTTCACATTCGAAGGTCGCCCTGGCTATTGGGGCTGTAATTAACGCGACGGCGTGTACCAAGCTTCGCATACTGTATTAAAATGCGCCCGTGTCAGTATTGAGTAACTTGCGCGCCTGCTCTCTTCATTGGGTGTGGTAGCTGTTTCGCAGGCTTCCTCTCCGGAATCGAACAATGGTTACCCGTCAACACCGTGGAAAGCAGATCGACGACCATCGCCAATAGATGGGACACACAGTTAATGCCAAAGTCGACGGGGCCACAGAAAGACCCCGCGATAGGATTTTAACAATGGTCACTTCGCCCCGTCGCTACCTTTGGCAGGTTGTGGTGATCTGGTATAAGAATAAATGCCGTTTACCCTCTTGTCAAGAAGCGGAAAGGGGTCCACAGAGCGTTGCATGTAATTAGCTCTAGAATGACGACAACTATTAAAACAACCCGAAAGGAACAGTCCGGAACTTAGATTTACATTGCTTCAGCATTGAGACAGCTTCACGGGTTCGCCAGTAAACGTGTGGGAGAACAGTAAGCCAAGAGCGAACACTCCCGGCCTCTTTCGCTGCGTAATCCCAGGAGATGGGCGACACGCAAGAGACAAGCTGAAACACGCGCACCGAATCGTGATCTCTCCTCGACCACACACTGAGAAGGCGGCGCCGCGCAGGCGGGATCAAGCCTTCTAATATAATGGATATATATATATATATATATATATATATATATATATATATAGCTGTAGTGAGTTGTTGTTCTAATGTACAGTATCATATATCATAGTATAAAATATAAAAATAACACCGATTTGCTTCTACATGTTTCAATATGTTGTTCTAATGTACAGTATATATATATATATATATATATATATATATATATATATATATATATATATATACATGCACCGGATCAGGTTTTGTCGCTCTCACCCATGTTCCCTAACAGTGTTTCGCAATTGTCTGATGGGTATACCATCGTGTAAAAGTAGGTTTGGTATTGATTTCTATACTTCCAAAAAATTCATCTAGTCGAGTCCATTCTGGCCAG